CCTATATACTATCTATGTATAAACATTTTGAAGTATTAAACTAACGAAAATCCCAAGGAGAGGCGATCACCCCCCCCCCCTACCGATATCTGCCACTATAATAAATTGTAACAATAATTGTCACAATTCTCATATAAATGACAATTTATTAAAAATTCGCGTATATTACTGATATATTTATATATTTAACCTTGCCTATTATTAAATAGTTAAATAAACCCGTATTTTTGACGTATAGATAGCATTCCAGAAGTTCGAAAAAGGCGTGAACCCCACCAAGACGTCCAGCTATAATCTCAGACCTCTGTTGTGGGAATCGGGTAGCACAGTCAGCAACAAAGTGCTCGAATGTCTGGTACTGAGGTTCGCCAAGAATAGGATTCTGACTTCGGAATGTTTCATAATGGCCATGGTCAGACTGCACTTAGCTCACGGTAAGATTACCGACATACTAACTGTATACTGACATACCAAACTGAATTTATTAAATCGTATTTTGCGCTTTCAGAGAGGTACCACAGTTTAGACACGAAAATGAGTAAAGGAAACCCCCTGTCGTTGGAAGAGGTACAACTTATTATTGTTATTATTTATTTTTTTTTTTTTAGAAGTAATTCAATAATAGTTAGTATGGGCTGCATCAATAATGTCGTGAATTTTTATTGTTCCAGTTGATCTTGATGACTATCTACTCTTGATTTCGAACTCATTGACAATGTACCAAAGAATGAATAATATGGATGATAGTGCCAGTCATTAAGTGATATATTATAATATAATAATTTATGTTGAAAACCACGAAATATATGTCCAATTTCCGGGTGGTTATGATAACAATATTATTATTATTATATAATATTTCAATTGATAATATTATTTGTATTTTATATTATTATTATTATTATTATTATTATTATTATTATTATTATTATTATATATTTTTAGATTTTTTCGTTTTATAATCATAATCAAATCAGGCATCATATATTATAGATAGTTTTTTTTTTTTTTTTTTTTTTTAATAGTGAACCTAATAATGCCTGTTTTATAATAAGTATAATTATCACTTTAATATTAATTTAATATATTATGTACGTTTGTTATTTTATTTAAATGATGCGATGCGATACGTTTTATGCACGTTTGTCAAATCAATATAGCTGGCCAAAGCGAATAATTTATTTTTGTAATATCTATTATTATTATCATTATTATTTTACGTATAATAAATTTTGTTATGTTATTACAATCGACAACTACTCGTTTACGCTGTACTGAAGACGCTTGTACGTTGTATTCAGGAACTATCAATGAAACCGTTTCTCGAAAATAATCAGAGAACCGTTATCTTTATTGGAACCCACATTACTCAATTCGAGGATCGAGAACGTTTCAAATAAAATACAAATATTTTAGTTTCTTTTAGTTTTCTATTGGTTCCATCAAATTACAAAGAAAATGATTCTAAAATAAATCAATCAATACAATTTATGAGCTAATATGAGCTATACCTAATAAATAAGTATAAATTATAAATGTGCATTTTCTTACGACAAAATTTCATCGTTTTTGGACCTAACATAACCCTGAACAGTGAACCGAAACCAAAATTGTAATTTGTTTAATAATTAAACAGGAACGGGAACCTTTAAAATCGTAAAGAGAACGTGATACCCACACGTGCTGTCCTGGAGTATCCTTATTTTAGGTAAAATCACCAGTCCTTCTTAGCTTAAGTCTTCGAAGTCCTGGGGAACGCTTTAGTTACATCTTGTCACTGAGATATTTTAAATGAAATATTATATTAAAGTTTTAAAAAAATTAAATTAAAATTTGTGTTAAAAATAAATTCGTTCGTATCTATTAGATTATACGTAATCAGATTTTGTTTAAATTTATTTTAATTGAGCACTCATAAGCGTAGAATAATATTTATGGAGGGTTCAATTTATTTTTAAACTTAATTAGTTATTATAACATTTGTTTAAATAAATTTATGTGAGAGATAAACATTTTGGAAGTATTGTCTCTATAATGGGTTTACTAAAATTTTGGTTAGGTTTAATTAGTTCTCGGAACGGTCCTCAACTTTCAGTAAATATAATCCCCCTTTGAAATTTTTCTCACTGTAATTACTGGTTGTCTCCGTCTTACAAACATACGACACATCATATTTAAGTTTAACAGGAATAATGTTGTGTGCTGTTAACATTAGAGCGAATTAACCTACTATTAAATTTAAAATTAAGAACGTTATCTGAGTAACTTTGGAGCTTTTTTTTTTTGATATTTTAATTTCAAGTGAGAAATAAATATTATTAAATTGTGATATTCACACACGCACATATTTTTAAATGCCGTATATGTTATTTATTTATATGTTAAATTAAATTCAAAACAGTAATTTTGTACATGATGGTCTTAAAGTTAACTACAACTAGATGACAGGGGTAACGGGGTAACTTGAATCTTAGGGAAGAGGTGGAAAAAGCTCGGATTTGCAGAAGATAAGCAGAATAGTAGATGTAGAAAATTAGACGCAAAACATTGGTGTTGAGATTAGTGGAACAGGGAATGGGTACACATGATACAGTAACAAAGGACTCGAAAAGAGATGGTTAACAATAGATCTGGATCGTCGATGGCAATTTCAAGAAGAGAAAAGACGAAGGAAACATTAGCCTTAACACGATGAGAATAATGGATTGATATTTTTTTTAATTTTTGTCAACATTTAAAATTTAAATTAAACAGCCTTATAATCCAGTGGTTCTCATTCTTTTTAGGACCACGACCCAAATTGTCTCCCGAAAATCTATCGCAACTCATACGGTTTCACTTTTAAAAAATTAGCTTATGAAAACAACTAAAAATATAAAAAAATAATCTCCTAAAAGTACCACGCCAATCATATTTCCTTTCAGAAAAAGTGCCACAATTGAAAATCGTAGCAAAATTTCTGGTAGAAAAGTTGTTCACAGATAAAAAAAAATAAATAAAAAACAAATATTCTTGTGAAACCAATACATTCCTCGCTCCGCTCAGAATCTAAAAATATAAATTTCTTGGAATCTATATGATTCAAAACAATTTTCATGACTCACCAAAAATTGACTCGGGACTCACCAGGTGATGGTGTCCAGACAAGATTCCGTCGCCAAAATCTCGCCGAAAAAAATCTTTTATAGATCATATTTTAGTGAACTAAAAAAATGACAAGGGGCATACGAGGCATTTTATAATGTATAGACCCATTATAAAATGTAAAATTAAAAAAAATGTATTAAACTGTCCACCTGATTTTTTGTTTCTTTGATTTTTTTTTCTGTGAGATTTTGTCCTGACGTGACTTTGTCCAGACGTGATTTTGCCTGGACGAGATTTTGTCTCACGGGATTTTCGCGGCGATATTTTGTCCTAGATTCCCAGTGAGTCACTATCCACAATTAGAGAAACGCTGCAATACACTTGGTCTTATAAAAATTATCTACTTAGGTGGTACCTATTATTTACTCACATGTGTATACAAAACGAAATGTTTGCAAGAAGAACCTGTGTGGTGTATGTAAGCAAAGCACAAACATCGACTTAAAATTACCGTGAACGAAATAGTTCGAACGTTTCGAAACATATTTGACATGATTGAATTTAATTAGATCTTAAGTATAGTTAAGGTGTCTACGCGTTACGGGTTAGGATATGAATATACTAAAAAACCACGTGATTTGTGGACACAACTCAAAAAGACGATAAGCGAATTGTAGACACAAATATTTTCCTTCACTATACTTTTCAGGATTACGGACAAGGTACCAAAAAAGTAAAACATTTTTGATTTTTAATAGTATATCATTTTTATTTTGGTACTTAACTATTGACCACCTTTTGAACTTCACCGTGCCATTATGCAGTGATAATCGAACTTAAAACCATCGCGTAATTGTTTTCACTGGACATTTTTTTAATACATTTTAATAAAGACGAGAGATATTTATAAATAGGCACGATTAATGTCGTCGTCGAACTGATTAAACATATTTTTTAGCTGCCGTCTCAAAAATACCGGCATAATCTTAATGCTGATAAATAATAATTTACATAGTGGCTAGATAAGTAAACAACAATGTCAATTATCGATATCAAGACAACACGGTTCCCGGCGTTTTCCCCGAATCAAATCTCCCGAACATCCTTTTACCCGAAGGCCGTTTTTTTCCGAATGGTATATTTCCCGTATTCTACTAATTGATTTTGCCCGAATATCGTTTTTCCCGAATGGTGTATTTCCTTTTCCGAATAATAATAATTTTGTTTTTAATTAATTATGGTTGATTAGATATAATTAAAGTTTCAAAATTGAAATTGAAACGTGAAGTTAAATGGAAGAAAATATAATAAAAATACGAAAACTATTTTGTGTTGAACAAAAAAAAAAAAAAATTAAATAAACGAAAAAAAAAATACAATAAAATACAAAATAGAACCGCAGTTCAATATTTGAAATGTAAAACGAACTGAATTTTTATTTGTTTTTTCTACCATATTCGGAAATATATTAATCGGGATATATACTAGTAAGAAAATATACCAGTCGGGAAATATGCTAGTCGGAAAATACACCATTCGGGAAAAATACCGGGTATTAGACAACACGAATTGCCCAACCTCCGCACTGGAAACTGTGTCCGTAATCGTCATTACAAAAATAATGATTGGAAGTTTGTCCGCAATTTATTAGTATGATGATAAATTTATGTCTGCAAATAACAGAAAAAAAAAAAATATATACACACAAAGGTAAATAGTTATTAAAAACACTTGTAAATATATTTTACCGGCCAGGTGTTATGTTGGTTGACGTTTTCGTTTCAAAACGTACCTTATCATTATACTATAAACCCACGAAATATTGAGAGCAGTAGACATGGGTTGTGCAGCTCGTTCCAAAACCAATTCGATTATTATCGTTCTAGTAACAATATTTTGTATTAAAATCGAACATGCTTATTGCGGTAAGTACGAGGTTATTATTTTATACAATTCACTATACATAGTAATATGTACAATGTGTTATGATAATATATAGTAACGTTTTTAAAACGCAGACGCAGACGAGTAAAAAAAAAAAAAAATGCACAATATAAAATTATTATGTCACATTTATTCAATGTAGATGGTCGATAGTTCCATGAAAAGTACCGATACGTATAGTATAGTGGAATTTTCATTGTCTGAAATCTGAATATGCATAGGTATTATCCGCTTAATGATTTATTCAAATAAATACATCAAATGGATAATTCGTCATGAAATTCGTGATTACCAGAGACCGATATTTAAATATTAATTTTTTTTTTTCTATAAATAAATTAATAGATGAACTTTTACTTTAATAAATATCCTGATCACGAGCGGATATATCCTCCTAACCCCTCACTCTGTTGTTAGTTACGAAACATATATTGTTGGCGTAATTCGCAAGTACTCTATTCAGAATAGTTTTTCATTAACAACGGTTTATCATCAGTTACAAACATAAATAAATTACATTATACTCGTCCACTCTTTCAACTCCTCCTAAATCTTTTTTTTTCTGTTCACACATTTTTTAAATCATAATGTTTACAATTCGTATTTTATTTCTGTAACAGATTATAATATATGATTTATTAATATTGAATTGTTGTTAAAATATATATATATATATATTTAAAAAAATAAATACATTTTTTTAAATGTATTTATCTTTTTAAATCCTAAATTTTTATATAATCCCCGGACGCTTCCAAATGTTCCAGTCCCCGAATCCCGGGGTTATCAAAGTAGATATATATTCTAGTTCAGATACTGATATCAACTGTACATCGTATTTAGTTTTATAATTTACCAATGCAAATTTATCCATTTGACGTATTTCTTTTAAATGTTCCATTACTTAATTGTTACTGCGGGTATACCTATTTATACCAGTGCCGTTGACACGAGGCACGTGTCCTTTCTCTTAATTTTTTTTTTTTTTTTTACTAAGCGCTCTGAAATGAACAGTTCACACATTTCGATAATTCAAATTCGGCATTGAATTTGACATAATAATATGCAAATCAAAATTTTAGGACAATCTAATAAATTTGAATAATAAAGCATTAAAATAATTTTCCAACAGGCGATAATGAAATTGCTATTAATAATAGTAAGTTTTACAAATATAACATTGTTTTAGAATAATAATAATATATTAATATTTAATACCTAGTAATTCTGAAAAAGAAAAAGAAATAAATCGATTTTGGATAGCAATAGAATATTATTTTAAATAATAGAATATAGATTTGTTAGTTGTGAATTTTTCATTTTTTGGAATATTATGTTCATTATTTTCAGAGATATTTTTAAAATTAATTTTATTTAGACTTTTCGCAATAATCACAAACCGGAACACTGTGCGGTTTCGTTAATTGCTCGAAATAAAATATATTATAAAAAACGCCCATTTAATTGCTGTATTATTTTTATTTTATATATGATAATAAATTGACATGATATTGCACCCGTTAAATAGGTCATACAGCTATGTGAAACAATACTTGAAAATATATTTAGTATTATAAGACGCTGTATATTTATTTTTTATTTGTAGATATTTGTGTCAGTGAGTTAATTTATTGATTTATTTATTTGTTTTATATAATAACATAAATTATTTTATTTTGTTTTATTAAATATGGGCTAAGCCACGTGCATTTACAAGCCCATCTTCAACATTTTCGAATCATTATTTCCCTCTTAAATTACAATGTTTCGAATTTGACCAAGTCGCCAGCCCCAGCCCCCCCTTTAAATTTTCTCTCCTAAATAATGATACGAACATTTTCAACTTTTCAAATTTTTGACAAAGTTCTTCAATACGAAATCGACTTGATAATTATTTACAAAAGGTTCATGGATGAAGTTATTCAGGACCATTTAATTCATATTAGCTGAGCGACCAGGCCTAAAACCAAATTTGATGATCAATAAGGACCGAGTTGACTGTTGATAGAATATTATTGAGTAGGAGTTTTTCGAGAAGTTTAGCAATATGACTTAGGATGAAAATGAGCCTATAGTCCTTAACACTGGATTTATCACCTGATTTTAAAACTGGGGTGACAGATCATAGTTTCCCGACAGCTGAAACTCTCCCTTCATCCAGAGAAAGTCTGAAAAAGAAGCTAGAGGGAAACGGTAAGAAAAGACTGAAAAGGAAAGTTCCAGATTTTACATTATTCAGCTTATGACTAACTCGACATCAGCAATACTACACAACACTAACAATTATTAGGTAGATCGTAACTTAGATGAGGAAGTTAAACACAACTTTTGGAGAAAGTAAGGGAGTGAACTGAGTTGAAGAACTCAGAAAACAGATCAGTAATGCCAAAATGTTCAGAATTAAAACGATCGTCTAACCAGGCAGTGTTAGGAATACTATTATCGGACCTAACACTACGAACAAATTTCCAGAATGAACCGGAGTTATTTTTTAAGGCAGCTTCAGTGAGAGTTATGTACTTTTTATGACACTTTTTGGACTTATGTATACCGGATTTGGAGATTAGAAAACTAAACTTCCCGAGTTTGAGCTCATTTGGTCCGAAGTAAGTCGCTAAATGTGTCCTAAAATAATGGAAAAAAGATGCATATAATAAATATAAATAACACACATATTATTCATGAGAGAGATATCAGTACAAATAACTTCCTTTTCGGGGAAGATTTGTCAACAATTTCAAACGAATAATTTTTTTTAATTCAAATAAATTAATACGGTAATACATATCGGTCACGGGAAAATTTAAACCGAATTTTAATAATTATTGCCTTACACCTATATAGATCAGATATACTACGATTTGAATGGTAAGTTATACAAATATAATTTAATTTTAGAACATTATTATATTGAATTTTATTTGCTGAGTGTACGTGAACAAATTGTATTAGATTTATTATAACGTGTGTTTTTTTTTCTCGGAAAATACTTGTTCAGCTTGTAAAAATACATAGATATTTACATATCATACTCAAAACGATTTTTCTCCTGGTGATTCTGTAGTCAGCTAACTAATTTGATTAGCTTCTCCGCAGCGTACCGTACAATGACTATAATATGCCCACCCATATCAACTTTTTTTTATTTAAGATATTTTTATGAGCTGGTTTGCTTGCTTTTACCAGGTTCAGGGTTTAGCATAGTTTCATATTTTCCTATGTATTTTCCTATTGGAAATCATAAATTTGTAATGTCACGTCTTGAGTACTTTACGTATAGATTATACGATGTTACATGATAACAAGTTACAGTTAAAATTAACTATGTAATGTTTTTTTTTCGTGTTTCGCGAAAGACATTTCCCAATAAACATCTCATACATTGCGCAACATACTCAGTTTGCTGCATTTATTCAAATTATTTTCATCGCTGATTTTTAATATTGACGCATAATATTGTTCTTCGTTCTTTGTTTTTAAAAAAAAAATAACAATTATACATCAAAAATTTAATTGCATTATTGCGATTATTTGATTGCATTATTGATTGATATTATTAGTTAAATACAAGTATATGATTAATTATGAGCAATTGTTAATTAGGATGTAAACTGCCTCTGGAATGTTCCGTATACGCGTTTATTTATTTAGGTAAGTGTAATATATCAAACAATTTTTTTAATTGTTGGTAATATAAGAGGGTCCGGACAGAAATTGTTCTCAGGGAAATCCTTAATGCGATCGTTTCGTGGTATCTCTCTCTTCTCCCAAAAATATGGCTTCAGTCGTTTCATATTTTTTATGATCCGCACGAACATCAATACCCCCACTGCAACTGCCGTCGAAGTAAATTATTATTCAATGCAAACAACACGAGGATGCCTAGGCTAATATCTTACTACGTCCCCTTACAAATCGTATACATATGCGTATATGTACATAATTTTTGGGGCTAGGACAATGAACCGATAATCCTATTCCGGGTATTATCGTTACGTTATGATATTAAATTATATTTAAGGAAAACTATCCAAATAATTTCGATGTTTTGATATACAATGATTTTAAATAAAATAAAATATCAAACCAATAGTATACACGTATATTGTGTTCTATTGCACTATAGAAATGGTTCTCGATCGTTTTAGAACCACCACCCAAATTTTCCTTCAAAAATCTATCGCAACCTACACGGTTTCACTTTGCAAAAAGTAATTTATAAAAACAGCTGAGAAAATAAAAAAATGATCTCCTCAAAGTACCGCCCCGGTCAGATTTTTTTAAAAAAAAAACGGGCTACACTTAAAAATCGGAGCAAAATTGCTTGTAAAAAAGTTGTTCACAGATAAAAAAAAAAAATAAACATTATTTTAAAACCAATATAAATGAAAACGTAACGCCGGAGCTAAACCTAAATGTGTTGATGGCGTAAGACACTTTGTGGAATACCTTCAGATTAGAGCCCTGCATTTGATCCGATAGAAATTCTAAATTGACTTGAACCAATTCAACTCGATACGAAAATCCAAAAGATCCGCCCGGGACTACACAAAAAAATGTATAAATAAGACCGATCCAATTCAATTCGACTTTGGGTCGAGCCGAAACTCGAGTTGGAATGGGCCGGCCTGGTCCGTGCAGTGCTCTATTATAACCGTGCATCTGAGACATACAGCCATACAGGGCACCAGTTATAGATTTTCAAAAAAATATTTAAAAAAAAAAAAAAAAAAAACGAGCACATTCGACGCGTAACAATCCTTCACAAATATTACAAGATATAATGAATAACATTAGTAATATCCTGTCGGCTCAGCGTCGCGGTCTCGTATTTTCTTCGTATTGTTTTACAATATTCACATTGGTGAACTATATTATGATAATGCACTACTACTATGATTAAAAAATATACAAGCAAATAAACATATAATTAACACAGAACTGTAAAATAATTTTTACTATGAGCTATATATTATTATCGATCTTTTAGACTACAGCAATGTACAACGTAAGTGTTAATTTCGATTAGACCTGCCTTAAATCTATATGTTGGAATTAAGTTATTACATAATAGGTATATTTTCGAAAAGCTTGACGAAAAGGTAATATTTTTTTTAACGACAAAGCTTTTTGGACAATATATATTTAATATTACATATTATACAATATGACTCGCTAAGCGTATCTAGCCATTTTTTTTTTTTTTTAATTTTGCATTTATTCAAATTTTGATTTTCGGAATATTTAAGCATAGTTAAAGCAGACATTTTCGAATACTTAGATTTTCTACAATATTTAAAGAGTATCCTTTGGCGATACCAACTTTGGTTATTCAAATGAGAACCTATATTAAAAAAAAACTCCATAAATAGACGGAGTGTTACTTTAAATAAATTATGGCGTCAAAATTTTTGATTTCCGTCAACTCGTTAACGATATATTCCACTTATAAGTTAAGGTGGAGGGAGATTAATGAATAACCCTGCGCAATCGATATCATCGGATTTCTATTTAATTTACTCCTCTTATTAATAAATCAGTAAATTATTTTAATTCCAAATCAATATAAAATTACTAAATTAATCTAATTAGTTAATAAAACAGTTTATTTTATCAATGTAAAGAAATATTTATTGCCAGTCTATTATTTTATTGTTTTTAGCGTTTTCACAAAAATATATGAAATATCTTTATAGAGGTATAGGAAGAGGTAAGTATCAAAAGTATACTAGTTGTATGCCCGTCAACAGTTTTACATAACTAGTTATAACAGTCATTAAAATTTTTAATAACCATTTTAAGGTTAGTATAAGATAGAATAGAACCAGATTCGTCTGTCTGTGACGCTTTTCCATTTATCGTTCACACCATAGGTAGAGTAGTTACTCTATGATTTACACTTATCGCTTAAAAGTTATATATTATCTTACTTATCACATCGCATGTCTATAATCGGTTATTCCTTATCAATATCTTCTTTTTCTTCTTTTCCTTCGCGTTCATCCTAGCTATTTGGGGTCAGCCACCTTCGTCCTAAACTTCTGCTTAACTTGATCTTCCACCTCGCATAGACTGGCTGTCCTTGAGTATCCTTGCATTATCACAAAATACCTCTTTTTCGATTTCTTTTTTCTTCAACGTTTATTTTCATTATTATTGCTACTGTTTCCTCTCTCCCCATGTCTTGCCCAAACCATTTCAGTCTATTTTCTTTTATTTTGTATTCTGAGCGAAGCGAGGAATGTATTGGTTTTACAATGATGGTTTTTTTTTAAATTTGTTTTCTGTGAACAACTCTTCTACCTTAAGTTTTGCCCTGATTTTCAAGTGCAGCACTTTTTTTAAAGTAAATTTGACTGGGGTGGTACTTAAAAGAAATCTTTTTTCTTTTTGATTTTTCTGTGGGTTAACATAATAAATTGGAAAACCAGTTAAAAATGTAAGAAAAATGGGAAAATATACGAAATATATTATTTTTGAAATTTCATAAAAATTACGTATTTTTACGTATAACCGAACTCCGCTCAGAATCATTTTTCGATTAATTGTTGTGTCGTGCAAAGTAATTTTCCAGGTAATTTTCCCGAATCAAATTCCCCGAACACCCTTTTCNGAATCATTTTTCGATTAATTGTTGTGTCGTGCAAAGTAATTTTCCCGAATCAAATTCCCCGAACACCCTTTTCTCAAATGCCATTCTTCCCGAATAGAATATATCCCGAATAGTATTCCTCCTGAAACCATATTTCACGAACCCTTTGGCCCGAATATTATTTTTCCCAACTGGTGTATTTTTCGACTAGCATCTCTCCCGACTGGTATATTTTCCTATTATTATACTTCCCGATTAATATATTCCCGAATATGGAAGAAAAAACAAATAAAAATTCAGTTTGTTTTATATTTTAAATATTGAACTGCTGTTGTAATTTTTTTTTACTTTCATGTAAGTAACTTTCGTATTTTTATTATTTTTTCTTCCACCTTTTAACTTCATGTTTAAATTTAAATTTTAAAACTTTAATTATATCTAACTAACTGTAATTAAGTAAAAATATAATTATTATTATTATTCGGAAAAGGAAATACACCATTCGGGAAACGACCTTCGCGAAAAGGATGTTCGGGAAATTTTATTCGAAAAAAACGTCGGGAACCAAAATACATCAGTATCTTTTTAATATTGAAGCCTATAATACCTCATATATATTAATTCCTTATCCTATCTTCTCTCGTCACTCCACTCATCATTCACCTAAGCATTTTTATCTTTGACACACTAATTTTCTGTTCTATTTTTCTGTCTATCACACAACATATTTTAGTTGTTTCACCACACTGTTGTAGAGTTTTCAGAATTTATCTCATTTGAATTATCCTGTCATACCCACCTATCACTTCTCTCCAATTTATCAAACCACACCTAATTCTATGTTACACGTCCTCTTTTTTTTTTTATTAGATGAACATATAATACCATACATATTATAATATATTACTATAAAACTAACAATACATACAGTATTATATGATAATTTATTTATTTTTTTATTTTTATAAATTATAGATTCCATTGTATCACCGCTTACATATTGTGAAATCAAGATATGTTCGTAAAAATAAAACAAAATATAATTAAATAATTGTTCAGTTTTATCAATACCAATATGATTTACTCCTTTTTTTAACGTTTAAACTCAGAATTTTTAAAAGATAATGAATGCAGCTTAACGGGACTCCCCGTCTCCGATTCCCGCCTCTAACATAATTATCAGCGGTTTTCTAGTAATTCATCTTTATGAATACTTAATCACTTTATCTCTAAAGATATTTTCTTACCCATGATAATCAAATAAAATAATAATAACTCATTTTTTTATTTTATAAGTATTAACAATATAACCAGCAAAAATATTAAGTTCCTTAATTACCAAAATACCAAAAATAATGTGTGTGCTACCCTTCATAGAGATTGAAATTTAAAAATCCGGTTTCACGCACCCGTTCATCCGAATCATTCGTTTGTGTATACAATATTTTCAGGCCTTTGGGTGTGATAGGTTCAGCTGTGCATCAGACAAATACTTCCCATTATTATTATTATTATTATACTCGTAGAATACAATATTATTTATATTATCATACAAAAATTAAATTAATGTTAATTTATATAGTGTCACAAAAACAATCCGATGACTCAGAACTAGATACACGTATACAAAGTAAGATTGTAAGAAAAATAACAAATAACATGTATATGAATGCGTTATGTTTTGAGGTTTTGATACTTGAATATTAATAAAATATTTCCGAGGGTGGGAGGTAATAGAACGCATTAAGTACATACACCTCCTCGGTTGCGACCTTGTAAGTGTTTTCTATTAACAGAATCGTATTTTAAATTTAAACCCAGCATGCCGAAGTGAGTATTAACTATGTGTTTATACTTACCTAATACGTTTTAGATTCTTTTTGCAACGTGAAACGTATTGAATTATTATATGTTTGTTTTACTTAGTAGTAAAAAAAATAGTCAAGTTTAATGTAGTAGCAGGATTTTGTTTATCAACGTCTAAATTACAATTTGACGAAAATCTCGGAACGGGACGAGTGGGCGCCGCCAACTAGACACGGCCAATTCGACGCGGCCAACTGGGTGCGGGATCAAGTGGACGCTAGGACAGCTGGACGCTAAATAGTTAATGATATCCACATTATTACTATTATTATCATTATTATTTTCGTTATTATTATTATCACTGGTCTCGTTAATATTTTAGTCATGGTATAGTAATTTATTATTGCCTAATCTGTCACCGGCTGACCGGTTTGCGCATAAACAACGGCAAGATGAATAACGATATAATTAAATTTCTTTCGTATCTTTTAACGTGGTAGATCGGACAAGACATCGAATAATAATTTACAATATTTTATTTGCTTGAGCAAATAGTAAAAATATGATCTGTTCTCTTTTTCATTTAATAATTCTCGCGCTCTCTTGTACTGGCGTCCACTTGACTCGCGCCCACATGATCCCGAGCCCAGTTGGCGGCGCCCATTTGTCCTAGACCGCTTTTTTATCCCTTGAACGTACGGGTGGATTCATTCATTATTGTTTTTGTATGGAAAAACCAAATATTATGGACAATTTAGTTCTCGCGGTCGCATTCGCATTTAAAATTAACACATTTTGTCTATTTTATTATCCATTTGAAAGGTCCAATGCAACAACCACACAACTCCATTTTTTTGTAAAACCGTTTTAATCTGTGATACGTTAAAGAAAAATATATTACTGCCGATTTGATAAAATTGACGTATCGAGTTATACATATTAATTATGATAGAAACTGTTTGTTTAGCACTTTTTATCACGAATAACTACGCGGTTACATCTGAGGTTTTACGTGGTCCGTACAGTCATCTACGCCAGTGATACACAGAATAAAACAGTGCATATCGGTGATAAATGATAATAGTTTCTTGACTATAGTAAATTTTACTTATGCCGTTGCCTGTATACATCAAATCGTTATCGAACAACAAACCCTATTAAATTAGGTATTGAACAGTTTTCACTTTCTTTTAAAATATTCATTTAAATGGAATTGCGTGGTGGTTGTATTGCATCCTACATAATCTAATTTAAGATATTTTGTAGTTGCTAATATTTTCGATTTACTCTGAAACATATTATAACAATTATGTTTAGTAATATATTTAAATTCCAAAATATAACAACAGGCAAATTGAATGAATATGGATTTTCGAGTAAGTAGTGGGCCCGCGAGTTTTAATACGAACACATAACTAAATACGGAAAGTCAATTTTGTATTTTTATTTTATAGATATGCATAGCGGTAACGCAGTGGAAAATATATTTTTTTCGAAAGGTACGAAGAACGGATTGAATTATTTGATCATATCATTATAAATATTGATACTTACTTGCATATTTTTAATTTAATGAAAAAAAAATGTAGTAGTATTGGATTTCGAGAGTAGGGAAGAAGCAGCTATTGCCTATATATTATATTAAGTTCAGTAAAATTATAAAAACTAATTGCCATTGAAAATTATTATCGGTTTTTTATATATATTCCTCGTGGTATTCACGGCAGGGCACCGTGGTTAAATTTAGTCCGAAAAAGGACACCGTCGAAATAAAAGTTTGGGAACCGCTTGGATAGAAACACTTGCGTCCCGGCTGCCCGTCAACCGCCCGCCACATCGTTTCCAGTCCTCACTATCTTCGGCTGTGATTACTGCGTTACGACGCGTCGTATTGAAAAATTTTAAACTGAAAATTTCACGGGTAAAATTAAGGCGATAAAAATGTCGATTATAAACGATTATAATGAATAATATAATATATGTATACATCGATTAAAATCCGTTATAATCTACATTGAAGGAGCAATCGAACAATCCAAAACCGATTACCTACATCGATTACAACCGATGACACGTTTTACGTACAGGTTATTTGAAAACGAAATAATCGCGCGGCCCTAAACGTGTTAACAAAAAAAAAAACCATAGCACCAACACCTGTGAATATGTTTTCAATGAAATTCCATTATTTTTTAATTATTCAGTACGTGTGTGATGTTTGTTTCTTGCTACGTAGTTTATTGGTGTTTTATTGTCTTGTAAATTATTTATGTTTAATTAAGGCTCAACGCCCACCAAAGTATCATGATTTATGATATTACGAGCGACAAAACACGTGATTTGACACGAGTAACATCACTTGTGATACACATGCACTAATTGAAACGATATTATAACCGCCGTGATATTTTTCTCGCGTGACACGTTTGCACTTACCACCGATTTACTGTTATTCAAGATGCGTTCAATAATAATATGTACATTTTAACGATTTTTATATTCTACAATAGTAAATTGAATCGCAATAAAAATATAAATAATTAAATACGTATTATAGACTTATGTAATAATAATTAATATTAACTAATAATACTATTTACTTAGTTAAACTACTTACACTATCTACTCAGTACTGTCTGGTATTGTCCAAACACAAAATATATTATCTTTTTTTGAAATTATTATGCAGCGTGATAATTGTGATGAGCAAATAACGAATGACAAAAGTAGTGCAAGCGCCACTTTTGTCACGGACAGATATTCAGATATAATTCAAAACTAACTCACGATCTGACGTGTTTGATCGATGTTACAGACTTGCGTAATTTTCCCCATATTTCAATAACAAATTTCGGGAGTAACATTTTACTATCAAATCGCCTCATATCACGCGTCATACTCGTATTACTTTGGTGGACGCTGCCGCTAAAATTCACGTATACAATAAAATGCGTATAACTTGGCAAATAAAAGATGAGAGGTGTAAAACTACGAATTATAGTGGCTATGGAAATTGACATTGGTCTTAATCTATTAAACAAATTTAAATTGTGTTTTCTGAAATATGAAGAGATCAAAATGGTGTAATCGTGTTTTTTTTTTTTTCTGAGCGCGAACTTAATGTTACATGTTACATTTTACGGCCTTTCCAACTTTGTATCTATAACAGGAGCCCAACCATTTTAAGAAATATGTCTTGTTTGTAGTTTGTTTTATTTTGTATAATGATCGTTTATCCTTATTAAACATACAATGTACCTAATAAACTCCAATTCACTAAATTTTGCAACGTTTACTTACTTTGTACAGAAATGATAAATGTTCCGATAAACAGTAAGTTACTTATTTGTATTATTGGCAAAATAGTGGAATAGAATAGTTTATTTTTGGACCTAACCGATAGTTATTGTAGATTTGTACGAAGCAATTATTTTTTTTTTTTTTAATATTATAATAATCAAATAAATGACCGACTTTTTTTTTGATATAATAAATATATAGATATAATGAATATGATATATTGAATATATTAGGTCAGTGGCGTGGCGAAGACCCCCATCGATCACCCCGATCGAGAGGCGGCCACCTCTCAGTTTTTAAATGGGTGGTGGATAATAATTTAGTTTCATAATTATGACAGACTAAGAGCATTTTCATATTATAAAATTTATATTAAAATAATATTATTAACCGGTAATTTTTTATATTTTTATTAACCCAGTATTATTATTATTATTTTTTTTTAAACTAATCTTACTAAAAATACAAATTGTCACTATAATGATTTCAGGTTAAAACTATAGTTCAATCTATGTTTCGGTCAAGTATTGGGCAGAATCAGTTGGAAAGTCAACTTATATTAACTCTGAAAAAGATGTTGAAATTGATCGTAATAAAACAATTTACATGTTCGCAAAGTCTTCAGATCATTTACTGCAGAGTTTATTGTTATTGATAATTTAATTGTTGTACGACTTAAATCTATTAAAGAAACAGTAATCTTTAAACAATTTTGTCACATTTCGTGTTATTTTAATTAACCTTATAATTATTTCTATAGTTTTAAAATTGTTTGCGAGAGACGATCTCCCAACCCCCTCTCCCATAAATATTTTTTTTATAAGACGACTTTAAAAAGGGATGAAAACCCAGTGTTCAATGTACAAACATAGTAGTTGATGGATAGGTCATGGTCCTTAAGGTAGCTGGGTGATATCAACAAATATATTTGCCTCTGAAAATATTTAAGTTCGCCACGCCACTATATTAGAAACTAGGGATTGGTGATTTAATACCTTCAATACTTATAACAGTGTCAAATTCTGTTTTGTTATAATGAAAAGTGATAACGTGATAAGTATAATATTAAATAGATTAAATCAGATTAAATAAATTAGTATTTTTTTATTTCATTATGTGTGTTTACATTTATACAGAGTGATTTTTTTATCATGAACCAACAATTATCTCTAGGGAAGGATAATAAATTGTCTATGACCCTTCTATACTCCTCCGGTCTAAACTTTTAACTGTTATAACTCGTAAACGGTAAATCTGATATTAGTGTGATTCATATCAAAATTTCTAGAAAAATATTCTATATTAAAATTTATGTTTAAAAGGTAGGGTTTCTATTTGAAAATCAAAAGTATACACTTATTTAAGATATATGGAGTAAGGCTAAAAAATTAAAAATGGTTTTAAAATAAAGCTTATACAATTCAACAATGATTAGAAAAAACCGAAATAAAATTCACTTAAAATCCTCTGAGATAATTGTTGGTTAATGATAAAAAAAAATCACCCTGTATATAGTGACGTTTTTTTAATGATATTAATTTTTTTTTTTTTTAAATTATTATCCGACAATTATGCACTTATCGAATTCTAAATCTCTAGATGTGTAATAAAATGTATAAAACAAAAAAAATATGAAATAAACTTAATCGAAAGTGTTCTTTAATAAGTTGTAAAAGTATTTTTAGTATTAACCTCGAAAACAATTTTCGTTATTATATTTTTGTATTATAGGTCCAGCGTGGCTTTATTTAACATATGTTATAAGCCAAGTCGAATACAAAGGTAGGGTTGTAACATTATTAAAAATATAAAAACGTGTATTAGCTGAAATCATTTTTTTTTTTTTTTTTTTACGAATAAATTAAATTTCAGTAGCGTATTCACGATTTTCCCCAGGAAGGGGTAGTGGATGATCTAAAACTGAGCGCCGAGAAAACTTGGCTCCTTCTTTATTCACATATATTAACGTTGTTCTTCAAAATATTGTCAACTGAGTAAAGATAAGTCTATACTGTTTCAATAAATGGTACGGAACTGAAAGGTAACTGGACGATACAATTTTCTCGATGTTTGATATAAAATAGCACAGTAATGTTATATCGTTACCTTACTATTTATTGCAGTAGTGCGGGAGATACAATCAAATTTTAGTATACATTTTTCAAAAGGTATCCATGAATCTATTAATCTTCTTGGTATGTTTTTATCTAATAGGACTAGGTAAGGATATAAGGAAAGGAAATACCGAATACGTAACTTTTAAGGGTATATCAGATACTACTATATCAATAAGGAAAAGATAACTAAAATCTCCAAAAAAATATTCGAAAGAGGGTTGGTGTGTTTGTATATCGCCCATATCAATCCCTGTAAATGCGCCACTGGACGAAGTATTGTAGGTTAATAATATTACATTGTATTGTATAGAATACAATACCCATACCTCTTTGATCAAATTTAAAATTTAGGATTTAAAAGCTAATACAGTTGAAAATTGATTTTTTTTTTTTTAAATTATTAATTATTATTTAATAATATAAATAGTATATAATATTTTAATTATTTCATTTATTTATTTTAAACAATATTTTAACAATTTAATAAATAGTTTAAAATCCATTAAAGAAATAGAATGAATAAATATAAAATAGTTATTTTATTTTAATAAAACATCTTTTATGACTTTAAAAAGCATATAGAAAATACTACTAATAAGACGAAATCCCAAGAGAACCTAATGTAAAATCTCGCAGAAACGGGTTGGAGAGCTAGCGTAATAACGCTGAGGTTTAGATGACTATTGCGAATAGAAGTGGTTAACAATTGACCAGGATCCCAGGATTGTATTCTATAGTTATATAGCAGCAATTACGACGATTCATTGATATTCTGCCAAACAAATTTGTTAGTATACCACTAAGATATTATTTTTTTATTAATTATGTTTGAGCTAATTAAAAAAAAAAAAAAAAACGTCCTTTTATATTTATTCTGTGTTTAAAATGCCAATCGAAATGTACCTATAATCATTTTAAGAGATTTATACTCATACAACAATTATTATAGGTACAATACAAAACAATTCATTAATAACGATAATTAAAAATAATAATAATATCTTTGATGCTTTAACAACTAAGTTTTGTCTATATTATAATATTAATAACACATCCAGAGTTTGTGTCCACTTCAGTTATTTATTTATTTATTTCGTATGGCATGGGTATCAAACACATAATACACTATTCACTTTCTAACTGTAACAAATATAGAATAATAAAATTAAACAAAATAAAAACAGAACATAAGGTTCTGGTAGTACACACATAGCTGTTAAATATATTATATAAATCGTGAACGCAAGTAAAATAAAATAAATCAACATATAATAATATTGTTATAAACAGTAGTTAATTATAAGTCTAAGTCAAGTTCTATTAACCATTCTATTGCCTCTTTGGTAGCTTTGTGGATTCCTTCTGTCCCTTGTTCGAATGACCTCCTGGGACACGATTCCGCGATGTGTTTCATGGTCTGTTCCGCTTCCCCTTGGGGGGGGATGGTGGTAGCCCGCTCGTGGCCCTCCCTGCATATGCTATTTTACACGCCGAAACCTAACAAGTAGAAGCGATCATAATAGCATAACCAATACCACCACATAGGCGCTGATACCCAGCTCATCAAACACATGAGTAACACACTATCTTGATACTTCAGTTATAAAGGGTTGCTTTAACGTTTTCTTTCATCGTGCTCGAACATTGTCGTTTTTGGTGGGCATAGTTGATGTCTTTAATTGTTTGATTAAGGGAACCGTAATCACGTGCTAAAGAGAGAATAAATCCCTATATGAATATAGTCGCATCACAATTACATATTATCCAATCTTTCCTTTTTAGTTGTGAAAATCTGTTAAGGATATATTTTGATATCGATGATTTCCTGTCTATTAATTTGCACATCGTTAAACCATTCTCGTTGCAGCTTCTCCTTAACACTTAAACGATCTTTGTTAAATTCTCTCCATTTCGGTTTCCGTGGCTTTGGAAACGGTTTGAAGAAGAATATTTAACTCTATCCTGGATGGATGAAGAAATTTAAATAGTTTATTGGATTAAATTTTTCTTGAGCATTTCTTGATTACATTATTTCTGGTGTTTAGCTTTTAACTTGATATTTCTATATGTGATTTATATGTTAGATCGCGGTCCAGGGTTACGCCAAAGTATTTAGTCTGAAGTTACGCATTATGGAAAAAGGTAACATTTAGTTGATTTTTTTGTACATACTTCCATTTTGGAAGATTCAAGACAGAACATTTACTTTTTTTAGAAGCATTTAAGTATCTCAGATCCATTGTAAATTTATCTTTTCCTTTCTTTAAGGAATCTTTTGAGATGATTATTTCTAGAAAAACAGAATTTCCGACTTATTGTATTAGGAAAATCTCTGGTATAAAAATTAAAAGGTAAGAGTGCAAACATTAAGCCCTTGGGGAGGCCATTAAAAACAGTAAAGGATTTACTTTTATTGTGCCCAATGCTGACTTTAAATGATTGGTATGCTAATATTTCTTTTTATGAGAAATTAACTTTTTGTAATTTAGGCATTTATTTAATTTAAACATAAAACCTTCTAGCCAAACCGTATCATACGTGGCTGAGAGATCAATGAAGGCTGCATACGTTTTTTTATTTTATCTGGAAATCAGCCCCGAAAGCGCTAACCTTTTTGCATCTCGAACGCTTAGTTCTGAAATTGGTAAAAATGGATTATTTCTTCCATCTTTTTCATATCTTCAATATTCTTTTCTTTTTCTTTTTTGATATAAATTGTTCGTTTTATTCCATTTTTGTCGCCAAGCCTAGTCTCCGTGAGTGATTATGGGTACATTTTAATGCGTATGAAATTCTATTACGCTTTAAAAGTAACCTAAAATATACACTTTTGAATTTAAAATAAAATAAAAGCAGATAGAATTATCAATCTGTCATTATTTTTGACCTATCGTATTTGAATAATAAACTAATACCTAATATAATTTAATATAATCATTTTATAACCGTATTACCTATTAATGTTTTTAAATAGCATTGGAATATTTGGAACCACCAGAGAAATTTTGTGATGGTAAATAATAGAAATACGAATTGTAATAAATTATCATACTATTTCATAAAACCTAATGAAATTGGATAATTACGAAAGCTTTTATCAATTTAACCAAATCTGTTTGTGTTTTTTTTTTAATTCTAGTCAAATGTATCGGTAATAACATAATAGTTTTAATAAATATTTTACTAATTAAGTATATCGTACAGAATAATCATCTTAACATTTATACCATAAACAGTCTTAAAATAATTTGAAATTCTCACTTATCTATAGGTTTTCATGTTAATAAACTCACGTTTTAATATTAATATATTTACTAATACGACCGAACGATTAATATTTTATTATTCTACACGAAACCTCGGTTTATTCGACATCTAGCTGGGGTTTCCGACCCCAGAGCCCGACGAGCTTTCGGTGGAGGCTCAACTTCCATCTACGGCAAAGATGGCCATTGGTCAATGTAAAACCGGGTGCTCGGCTCGAGTAGCTACGCTCTTCGGCCATAATATTATAGAGTAATGGATTAAATAATCAAATGATGTTTACAGTAGTTCAAAGTACCGTCAAATAATACTCGATAAGGTAGAAATTAAAAAATTGTCTTGTAAACTATCTGGAAGTCAGTTTTATATTGGTACACGTATGTAAAATATTCTCAACCGTTTATCATATGTAGTGGATTGATAGTTTCGGCAGACTAAACGCAGTTAAAAGCCAGTTGTGACACATGTTGGATAATCTCTGAAAAAAAAATTTAAAACATAATGTTTAGTGATAAATTATGCCATCCCATTCATACCCATACACAGCGCGATATCCGAATAACTAATAAAAAAAAAATTTCTCTCCAAAACCTGTGTTTTTTTTTAAAAATATTTTCTTATAGATTATTTACGTGAGTTTAAAAATAAATATTCTGTACTATTTTCTGCAAAGTCCTCGTGCAAATCGATATATCACATCATTTATACACAATTATTGACGCTCAATGTCGCTCGATATTGTCAAAACGGAAAAAGTAATGTGACACATCTACTCGTATGAAAATTTCGCAAGAAATATCGCGGTGAAATTATTTTTCCCAAATAGAAAACATCTGAACATACGTGTTTAATAAACACAGTTTTAAATTCACAATACGACCAATAACATTCCCTTTGCTCAGAATTTAAAAAAAAAAGTTATTTATAACGTTTGAAATAATCTACCTGTGTGTTATCTATTTTTCCAAATAAATAAATCTATGAAGATCAACAGTTATTTTGCCATAGACAATATTTATGGATTTTACTGGCAAAACGAGCTTATAGATGACGAACTTATAGCATGAAAACAAAAAGACTAGGTTATAAATTCAGAAAAGTTGAAAAATATTCGTGGATATTATACATTGATGTATTAATAATATTAGGATTATAAGTTATAAATGCCACTTAATTATCATGTGATATTAATGTCAGTATTTTATTACATAGGAGATAATACGTAGAAAATATAATTAATGTTGTAGCATAAAACGTTTAATGATTTACCAAATAATTGTATAAATAATATTAAATATTGTTTTAAGTTTATAAAACTAATATTTATAAATATTATAAAAACCAATAGTAGAGTATATAGTGTATAGACATACACTATACATAATACACGCAATTTACTAACAAAATTACAAAATTTACATCCTAACAGATCAAATACTGATAGCTTTTAATTGTAAGTGGTTTAACCTATTTTTATTATTAATTTATATATTTTTTTTTAATTTTGGGTTTAGCGAAGTAACTATTAGTTTTACTAAGACATATGTGTGTTTTATTCTCAGAAAATACTGTATTCGATTTCTTCATGCCACTCCTTAAAAGACGCTGAATTTTTGCCTAATGGTTGCTTAGTTGAAATACTAAACAAAAAACTACACACATTTTTCAAAAGTTGTTCCCTTAAATTCTCTTTAATTTTTCTCAGAGAAATTATTAAATTAAAAAATCTGTTTATTTCTATCTTACTTGAACTAAAAAAAAAAATGCGAATTTTGCAGCTTGGTATTAATTTTAAAATAATGTCTAGAACACCAACAGTTTTCTATATAATTTGAATACAATGTAAAATTTACTATTACAATTTTATTTCATAACAAATAATGGGTTTGATTTTTGTTCATTTCTGGATCATTGTAATTAAAAAGGAATAAACACAACCAATAATACGAATATGTACTTACTACTCAGCTCAAAATATTGTCTTGATCACAATGATTTAATGTTGGTTTAAATATATAATTTTAAATACCCTCTACCTATACTATAATTTTTCAAACTTCCCACCTATTACTGTAGCATAACCATTGTGCGGAGTACATCTGGCTTTTTTATTCCAATTATAGACGTTTTCCTTTGGCAATTTTATTTACCTATACAAATTGAATATTATTGAAAAAATGTCCACAAACTCTCGTGGGTTTTGTCGTCGAAATTGTATTTTTGACATCAATTAAACTATTATAAATAACATAATATACCTATTATAGATAGATTAGTGTATGGGCATTCACAGTTATACGAGTATTTCAAAGACATAATATTATTTCATTAGATTGCCAAAATGCGATGGCTTGCGCCGGTTACGCGTTAGAATATCTGGGTAAGTATTTTATGCAATACAATTGTGTGTTTAAGTATGTTTTTGAAATAAGTGTAATGACAACAAATTATAAACCATTTGGTTTAAATTAAATTAAATTGATTTATTTATCAAAGTGTATGATGATCTATTGGGTAAGTTTATTTGTATATTAAATATTATAATACAATTAACGGAAGTGAATAATTATGTCTGCCGATTAATGGAGTGTTAATACGAATTAAATCAATGCGTATTAATGTTGAACTACAATCAAATACTAATAATTGATTAATATTAAATATGGACTGATAAACAGGGTAACTATCTGTATGGCCTAAGAAAATTTAAATACGTACACGCTCAAATTGCCAACATACAGTTAAACCTAAAATTTAAAAAAAAATCCAAACTCAAATATTTCATTTTATTATTAGATAGTACAGTTAATCCGGTCAGACGTGTCACATTTTTTATAATATTACATTAAATTATTTTAAATATATTCTAAAAGAAAAAAAGACGTCCTAGGATAATGGAAACGCGTGTAACCACTGTTGTAGGTAATTTAATGTATACCAGTAAGCAACGATAAAACATTGCATACGAAAAAACGTTCTGAGCGGAGTTCAGTTGAAAGTGTTGCTTCGTCAGCAATATGCATGTCATTTTATAGTAAAATAATTACATGAATATTTGTCAACAATATATATGTCGTATTATAGTAAAAGTAATTAAATCGGCTTTATATATTTTCTTTAATAATATTTGTTTAATGTTATACCGATTTTCCCGGTTTTCCCGGTTTTTTACATTTTCTGGGAAAACTCTTGGGAAAATCGAAAAATAACCTCCTTAAAGTACCTTTCCAGTCACCTTTCAGAAAAATTGAAATCATTGGAGCCAAATCGCTTGTAGAAAAGTTGTTCATAGGAAAAAAGAAGGCCGTAAATCGTAATACATTTTAACTTATACATTTCTTATATTTTGCCGCTATTCCTCTATTTTTTTTTTTTTCACATTTACTGGAAAAACTCTCGAGAAAACCAAAACATGACCACCTCCAAAAAACGTACCTCTTCACTCAGATATAAAAGTTGTGCACAGATTAAAAAAAAAAAAAAACATCTTTATAAAACTATAAGCTTCTTTGCTCTACTCAGAATTTAAAAAAATGTTTCCTAGTAATTAGAAAAAAGACAAAAAATGAAAAACGAACAAATTTATGGCGTTACGAATTCATTATTTTAAATTTTTACGCTTTATGATTTCTACCAGAACTAATGCACCAATAAAAAAATTACAAGTTTATTGTTGTTGCATTTTTAATCTAATTAGTGAATAAGAAAGCCATTATTTGATTTTCTAAGTAGTTTTAATTATAATTAGATAATAATAATTAAATAACACGTATAAATTACGTGTTTTCATTTATAACCGAATTATACTCCGAATCGTTTTTCGTTAGCAATAGTTTATCGTTGCTTACAGATATAAATTAAATAACTTTATGGTGAAAATTGTGGCTAGGTACATTAATGTGGTTGCAAATTGATATGGTTTACACTATTTTCGTTTACAAATTGGTACAAATGCAACTGGTTCCAATTAACGTCATAAAGATATCTGTGGATCTTGGAAATACTTCGATTGAAACATTATAATGAAGCACTTCTTATTTATAAATTTTTTTTTCTAATATTATTAGAATCAAAATTAGAAATGTTTAATTTAATTTAAATTTTAGATTCTGAGTGAGGTTAGACCAAAATGCTTGACAATTTAACAAAAGGTTCATTATGAGTCTATAAGTCGTACTTTAAAGTAAAAACAAAAAAAACAATTTTGAGCAGGGGCTTAAATTATGCACTTTTGAATTTTCATCGAAATGAAAACATTAACATAGAAAATATTATTGATCGGTTTGCTGGTTGAAATAAAATAATCTAACTGTTATTAATTATTATTTTCGTTATTTATATTATCATTATTATATTTAATTATTATTTATTTAATGTGAAAAAAATTAATTTAACTTTTATATTATCGTTATTATAAAATTGTACTGTTTTACTGCATTTGTACAATACATCTGCAGTCTTCTAAGCTATATTCAAGAGTAAACATTTTCCACCCCCATAAATGGAATTGCTCCTGTATTCGAATGTGTTCTCATTGAATTCTATTGAATTTAAATTGACATTATTATTACAGTTGCGTCAATTCGTAACAATTATCAAATGATGACGTGTAATCTCAAAAATATTACTATACCACTAAAGTGTCAGCACGAGTATATATGAGAACATTGAATAACTACTAACTTGATTTATTGATTTTGAACCTGTACATTTTTTTGAAACCAACCCGGAATTCGTTTGCACGTACCTTTCTATAGGTAGTCTGGATAACAATATTGATTAATGATTAATGACTAATAAATAATATTATTTTTACTCTATAAATACATTAAAAACTACTTATACGTATTAATTAATGAAAACAAAATAGTAATTTTTCAAATTATTGTATTAACTTTTAGAATATCCGCAATTGTATTTTACGTACCTTTTTGGTTTTCTTAAAACATGTATGTACCTACATTTTATTATTATTCTTAGTGGCACGCAAACTACAGTTGAACCATTATACATACTATGGCGACATGGGTGGGGGTGGTGATGGTGGTGGTTTAAAGGGACTAGGGTTATATAATGTATTAATTTATTGATTTATATGTAAAAAGTACTAATTATCTGTGGTCCCTTTAAGTGAAGTTACGCGAAGCTTAACGTGTGACTTAAAGTCGATACCGTAACACTCCCAATTCGGTCTATTAACTATTAAGAGGTAATTTTGTATTAGCTACAAATCTATATATCTATGCAATGACAACTATTGGATGAGCGGTGGACGGGTGGTATCTTATAGGGGCGGTAAAGTTAATGCTGTAGACAATTATTTGAAAAACATAGTTTGAGTGACACTAAATTTATTTCGTGAAAATTAAAATATACCCGTTTTAATAATACCACTGTTGAATTATTGTATATAGATAGAGTATTAAATTCCGATGAATTCTGTGAACAAAAGGCAGGTATGTTAAAAAATATTTAATTATATTCAAAGTTCTCAAACTAATATAACTGTACAAGAAAAATAAAATTCAAATTAGTGCTTATTTTAGATCCTGAGTACATCGGAGAAGCGTTTAGTATGTTAATAAGATATGTGTTTTTCTTGGAAAACGCTTCTTTCCCTAAGAAGTTCAAATGTTCGCATCGTACTTTAAAAGATGCGCATTATTCACCCGGTGTTATTATAATTCTTTTAATATCTTTTAAATTCCCAACAGTTTTTCTGTTGTATGTATCCCAACCCCCATTCCCTCACCGGTTTGAAAATTGTAATTTTTTCCGTTCATTCCAATATTTAGTTGATAAAATAGGCATACTAAATATCGAGTATAATAATAAGTATGACTTTTTTTTTATTACAACAAATCGAACTTTAAGCGGGAGAGTCTGGAAATCGTCTCGTCAACCTCTTCTCCCCAAATGGAAATATACGTAAAATTAATAATTTAACCACACCAATAATTAATATACGATTAGTATAAATTAGTATGAAAGTTATTAGTTAGTATTAGTAGAAATGCTTACTACTCCGCTTCCCGGTAAAACATCTCAGACATCAATAAATAGCATGCAACCCGACCTTCGCTTGCAACGTAAGGTATAAAATATTTTTTTGGTCGACAGTTAACCACGATTAAACGGTAAATTGATATCTGTACAATTTTTCTATTCCAACAATTAGGTTATTGATCAACGTTTGATTCTTTTGAAGAGACAATATAATTTTTTCAGAAACTATTATTTTTATTTACTAGTGATGATTTAATATCACTGCATTTCTTATCTGCGTGATATTTTTTTCATCTACGTTATTATTAAACTATATCAATAATAGATTATTAACATTATTATCATTATCGTTGTTGTAACTGGTATAATTGAATATTCGATGTATTTTTTTTAGCTCATTTAGAACCAGCTGTTTATAAAAAAAGCGATCGCAGTAGAATTGAATTAGGTAAAATTATAAAGTTGATTTTTAAAAAAATATATAATATGTTTGATAATGACCTTGATATTCGTCATTATCTTCATCTAAATAACGGGGATTAAGTTAATTGAATACATTTGTTTATGTAAGTAGAGTAGAATAATATATATATTGAATGTACATTCAATTTTTCCAAAAATTGTCACTTTGCAAAATAAATTTATTTATTTTGATTTTGAAAACATATAAATCATCTATCCATTGATTTTCAACCTTTTTGGGTCCACGGCTCTTCTGATTTTGAAAACCAAATTAGCGGCTCTCGAATAATGAAAATTAATATATATAAATTTACTATAATACTATACTATAATTACTAAACCACGACGCCCCTGGGAGCCGCGATGCACAGGTTGAAAACCACTGACCTATGCTATATTATAACGATGAATTTTTAAATTAAAAATTTTACTATTAATAACATACGAAATATAATTAATTGTAAACAAATTGTTGTGCTACAAATTAATAAATATTAATATAATTAAACGATAAATTAATTTATCTTCGTTTTCAAATACACAATACCTATCATCTATATATCGTAGGGCAACTATAGAAATATTCGAAAAATGACACGTTAAAAAAATTGGTACCAATAGGTATTATCTCCAGTAAACGGCTTTTGATTTATTCTCAAACTCGTACGAATGATTCACATACCTACTATATTTCCGAATACAAAGGGAAAATTCAATTTTCAATCCATTTGTAACCGTATGATTAGTTTTTGAATTATACTTTGAAAATTGTCGCTAAAATATCCGACGACGATACGAACGAAACCAGTCGGTCGGTTACCGAAACCATCAAAGCGGCACAGTTTCCTAGACTCATTTTATAAATAAAAAATAATTACACTGAACGGTTTATTTGCGGTTATATATCATGATGTCTATATCATATTGTATACTAATAAAATGAAGTATGATTAAATAATAATAATAATAAAAAAAAAAAAGCGAAACACACGAATTTTAACATTGGATAGCAAATTACGAGATTCGTATACAAAAGGCTGAACAGGATACTGAAAGTACCCGTGCACGAGTCCCAATCGTATGAGTTCGAGAATAGGTCGCCTAATATAGGTAATATTTAACTATGGGTACGGTTCGGTACAATCCAATGGCGTATCCAGGACGGACTGAGGGAGCTGCAGCTTTCCCCGCAATGTCAGGAATTATTGTTTTAAATACAGTGTAAGGTACTATCGTTTACTATGTTATTTGTAACTGATTAGCCCCGATCGAAAAAAAATTCTTGGATACGGCACTGGCACGATCCCCTGTCATATAATCCAAATATACTAAACAATAAATAAATATACTGCGGAACATCAATAATATTAATAAAGTTTGTGTTGTATCTGTATATCACATGACCAGAGTGTAAAAGTAAGTACGCAATTATTTTTAAATGTATCCACAATATTATGCGGGAAACGCTATTATACCCATGTTTGAGATTTTTCATAATAACTATGATTGTGGTTATGGGATGTCACTGAACAGTGTTCTAGAATAATCGTATTATTATAATATTTTAAAATGTTCTATTTCTGACACACATCAACAGATGAATTAATCGAATCCAATGTCTACGGTGAGTAATTATTCGTTGAATATACGCTGTGTCTAGATGCACGGACGTCCGTGTTTCTAATGTGCCCACGGACAATTGTGTTTACAATTTACAATACTCACACGCACAAACGTATAGGTATTTTTTTTTTCGTCTTGACGGTATTCAACGGCAAGCTATTAGGTTTTACATTTGACCCTTGCATTAAGGTGCTAGATTTACACTAAAGTTCCTTAGAGGATTGTCAAGTTTAAACCGACAGATTGGTAGATAATTTAAATTTTTCCGGTTTAGCTAAACTCGTGTGGACTTTTGTTTTTAATTGCGAGTTATAGCTTTAACATACGATTGTGTACTATTTGTTCCAGAATGGTTTGCTTGGAAATCTCTTCAAGTTGTGTATTTTAATATTTGTAAGTAAATTAAGATTAATATTTTTTTTCACACACGCATTAATTGCTAAAAATTAAATCTTTAGGAATATTTTTCGGCAAATGCCTCTATAAATATTTTTTTTCCAGAGACTTTGTTTATGTAACCTGTGAATTTCAATGAGACTTAATGGTACTTTCGACAAAGATGTGGTTCGGAGTATGGGGGGTAACATAAAAATAGAACAGACAATGTGTGTAATTGAGATGAGAATGCTTAGGCGGATAAGTAGAGTGATGTGATAAGATATAGGATAAGGAACGGGTGCATATTAATTATAATAATATTATTAGAGGAGTAGCCTAGCTTCGATAATGAACGAAATGAGAAAATATATTTATATATCTCCGGAGATAGTTCGAGCGTGCCGTGAAGAGAAAGGAATTGGAAGCAGTAAGAATGGTAATGCAATCAAACATAAGAGAAAAGAGGAGAAGAAGAAGACTGAGAGGTGAAGGAACGTGATGCGGTTGAGAATATAGTGTGTTTCTTCTTGTATGATACACGCTTTTCTAAACATCTACCATGGTGCATTGTGGTTAGAATAAGTTTATATATTTGTGTTCAACATAATATTTCCGTAGCAAATATTCTAGTATTCTATTGCTAATATTACGGACCGGTAATATTTATAAAATCACGTCCGGTCCCGTACTGGATTGCCAGGAAACCGAGCAAATGCATGATACGCGCTATCACAGTGCTCCCTTTACAAACACATTATACCGTTACGCTAGCAATTTCGGGGAAATAACAATGGGAAATTGATTTAATATATTGGCGAAAATCCAGAAGTGCTACGAGTTTGGATTAATTCTGTTAGTTACGTCAACGTTTTAATCTACATAATGCGTCTATAATGCGTGTAAACAGTATTGATAGTAGATGAAATCAATCTTGATAATTTACTAATTCTCGTATAATATATTCTATTTAATATAGCAACTATATCACTCGATAAAGGAAGTAAGTTCGATTTTTATGATATATTATTATTTATTATGATCAGGGATCGGATTTTATAGTACCAATAAAGTACTGAAATATGCGCTAAAACAATGCGTCCCAAAATTTTTCGTTTCGTATAACGTTCTTTTTGATCTGAGATCAAAAACTATTGTTTATCAAACAACGATTCTGAGTAGTATTAACAGTAGTTGAATTGTTTTTCCCATTTTACAGCCAAAAGATAACCAATAAAACAACAAAATAAAAAAAAAAACCGATCAATTAACAGTAGTTAGAAATTATTTTTAATTTTAAAAAAGAACTCTTAAGAATCGAGAAAATTTTTTTAAACTATGTACCAACGGAAAAATTCCCCGTTTTTTAAAGTACAGCGTGAATATTTTAGATCATTTTAACTAATCAAAAAGTGTTTTCCGAAAGGAAAAAACGAAAAAAAAATAAAGTCATAATAAAAGTCACTGTTTTCGTTGTTATTTGGGTTTCAAGTAATATTGTATACCAGATATCAAAGCCACGCGGTTACGCTTCTGTACAGACGCTTCGAGTCTGCCCTAAAAACATTATAAATAGCAAAAAAAAAAAAAAAAATAATGGAAAATTAGTTTTCATTTATAATCTTGTAATAATACTATATTTAATTCGGGCGACTAATCCGCGGACTATAAAAAATTGGATTACAATATAAAATATTATTTGATAAACCGTGGAAATGTGGGTATTTTTTTTACCGGTTTACATAAATGACAACTTTGTTTCTACTATTTTTCATTTTATTCAATTGCATAAGGATCACAAATGGAACCAACAATTTAAAATGCATCAAATATGCAATACACAATTTTATATTCAGAATCCTTGATACACAAAACAAATGTGTGGCGCGCTTTGCTATTTTTATCTGTATCTAATGGAAAGAAAAAAAAAAAACAACTCTAAAATCCGTTCCCTGATGATGATGTTTTGAGTTTTCGATGAATGCCGTAATGGTTTTTATTGATGATAAAACGAATAGTTTCAACAAAGCATTGTCAGATGTAAAGTTTATTTTCTAAATGGACGAATTGTACGGATTCGATATTTATTTAATTCAATAATATTCTTTTGTTCCTAACTTGAACTTTACATCTCTGTATCTTGGATGGAGATAGTTTTATCCAACTGATGTTTTTAGACTTTTTCATAAAAAAGGACGCGGTACATACGTATATGTGCTGTCTGGATGTCTCCGTCTTGCAAACTTACTGAACGCGCTTTGTATTGTTAGTTTTAATATTAGAGATTGAAGTGAATTGACCGTTTATCAAACTTAAATACAGGGAAATTATCTGTGCAACTAGGTCGGATTTTAGTTGCTTATGTTTTAAATATAGGTGTGTATATTAAATATCACAATTTAAAAATGTTTACATCTCGTTTAACATCGTCGAAAAAACTGAAACAGTTCTCTAGAAAATAATCTCGTCTTTAAGTTTAATAAAAGGTCAATTTACTTTAATATTAAAACTACCAGCACAACGTTGTTCCTGTTGAACGCAAAATTCTATTGTACCATTGTAAAACGGTGACCAAAACGGTAAACCGTGTAAGAAATAAATAAAAATTAATAATTATATTTTATAGGTTACACTTGGGAGTATTTTCAAAGCATAAAATCGGGAGCGTATTTCAATGGTATTTATATGGAATTGATAATAATAATATTCTTAAGAGACAACTATTTTACTATTTTCTATCGACGGCGGCTAAAAGTGCCGGTGTATTAGTACTTCGTACGGTTATAATTTAAAAAATCTGACATATTTCGCACCAATAGTGTGTCACCGTTGTAGGTTGGTAGTTGAGAAGGTAATATTTATAGGGTGATTTGTATGAACTCATTGCTGACGAAAAACGAATCTGAGCAAAGTCTGCTAAACATATTATTACAAACTTAAATTAAAAATTATATACATTTTAAATTATAAGACATTGATGACAAAAATTACAACAATTGTATTCGCATTAATCCACCACCCCAAAAAAATACTTTCGAATAACTATAAATAACTCAAAATATGCCAGATATTTTACAACGTTTATAAATTAATTACATAAATGTTCGGTAAAAATCTCAAGTCTCTACGCTTATTTTTCACTGAATCACAAACAATCAAAATTAACAGAAACTGTTTTTTCGTTAATATTCCTGTTTATTAAAAGTGTTTCCCACTTATTCCACAATACCTATAAATAAAATAATAAAAATTAAAAAAGACCTCCTGAGTGTGGTGCATAAATTTGGCTACTATAAACCATCTATAATGATGAGTAATGCGATAAAATTACAATTTCTGAGAGGCTAATTTTTTGATAGACCACCCATCCCACCCTTATTCAACAGCTATAAAAAAATCCCATTCCTAAATGTTTTAATTATATTAGACTCAAATAAGATAGCGCTCGATACTCCCTTTCCTTTTCCGAATCCATCCACGAATAGCCCTCCAAAAATGTGTATATATTTCTCGTCCCACCGTCAAACTTTTGGCTGTATTTAGATCTGTGTTAAAGTTTTATTTTTCATTTTAAATAACGTACAGTAGCACATATTGCAATAAAACATGAGTATTTTATAACATTTATTTAATATTTAGTTGATATTAATAAAATATTAAAGTAATTAATAACATTTAATTAAGAGACCTACTTAATGATAAAGACAACCGGAAATTTCAGAGGCAATTGCCTCTCAAATAAACCACGCCACTGTTTATAATGATGATTGTAGAAGGATTTCTGGCTGAAAAACACATTTATAGACAGGAAAAAATCATACATTGTAAAATTAATACACTCCTCGCTTCGCTCTGACTCCATAATTACCTAAAGGAGTGAAGGCCAATGGTAATTGCAATAGGTAAAATATTTAATTCTGTAGGTGGGTATTTAAATTAAACTCTCTTATTTTATATGCATATTTAGTTGGCAAAACAAATGTCATAAATTGTTATATTCATAGTTAAAATGACGGCGTAAATTAATATTCAAATTATGTTATACTAATTCTAACTTTTAGATTTAATTGATAAGGATGGTCCCAAGGAATTTTGTCGAAAAAAAGAAGCTCAAAACAAAAATAATGTATAAAATCAATTATTACAAAAGTTAATATTTAATGTTGCAATAATTTACAATAAATGTTTGAATTTAGCATACAATAATAATATAAATATAAAAATATGAAAATTTTAAATTATATCTTTATTAATAAAATTATTAAACAAAACCGGCAAGACGTTTCTCTTTACCTCCTTTGTCCATCCCCTCTCTTCCCATCATTACCTCGATGATTTATTTTTTTATTTTTTTCGTTATATTTTTTATACAATGGCTTTGTATGATATCTTCTCTTTTAGAACCAGAGTTTGAAGTATTCTTTTATTATTGTTATTTACGATTTCCGTCTGTGTACAACTTAGTACCAAAAATCTTGCTTAAATCGAAAAATGACAAAATACTTTTTTTGTAGAAATTTAAACTAAAAAAACATATAAACACATAGATACAGGGCCGGTATTAAAGGGTGGTAATAGGGACATTCGCCCCGGGACGCGAGATTTAAGTATCAAATTATATGTTTTGAAAAAAAGCTGCAATTATTAGTTAGATATGACTTATTATTTTTTTCTGCTTTGTTCATCACTTAAATTTAAATTTTAAATTCCTTTTAATTTTTAATAATTTTAGTTCTCATTTAATATGTAATTCATTTGCGGTTTGCTCTTCATTGAAAATCCATGTAAATAACGATACAGAATAGTATTCATATAAAGTACAGAGAACCCGTTGAATCTTATACAAACATAGAAATGTATAAAGAATACAATTTAAGTCCCTACTCGGTCCGGTATTTTTATATTTTAAAAATCCGGTCACCGGTCCAGTGTCGGTCTTTTTAGTTGAGAAAAATAACCGAATCGATTCCGCGGTTTATTTCATCAGCCCGGTCCGGTCCTGATCTTAATTTCACTTCTTTGGTTTGACCAATTAATTGTTGGTGAAAGTAAAAACTTTTATATAGTCTAGTCTGGGAAGGGAATGAGGCCCATGGGCCCCCCTCTGGATCCACCACTAACTGACCATTTACTAATATTTCAAAATAAAGTACTATCAGGTTGTTTGTATATAACATGCAATAATGCAATAATATTCAAAAACATATTATTAAGTCGTATTTTTGGATTTTCAGTAAGATTATACCTATTCTAAACTATTAATATTTTCCTAAAATTGTAAGTGAACGTAACAATATAATGTGTTGTAAAAGGCGCATTTTGATAGAGCTCAGCGTGCATTTTCTGGCAGTTTTGGGTACCTACCATACATTCCTCCATTCGCTCAAAATCTAAAATATCTAAAATAATACAAAATAATTTAAATTATACGAAACTGCTACAGATTGCCCTATTGTTTAGCTGAACCGCAAGTGCATGCGCACATTAGGTAGATATTTGATATCAAAATAAGTTACAAAATTATATCCAGTTTATGAAAATTAATTTTTTTAATTTTTAATATCACTTTGTAGTCTAAAGAAAACAACAGGTTTAAAAAACACCAAAGAGTATAAACAATTTACTTGAATATAGTATTATTCAAAGAAATGTTATGAACAACTGAAAAAAAAAATCATAATAAAAATAACGGTAGACATTTTACAATTAGAATAATAAACAAATAATAATTATATAAATAAATGTATACATTGTTAATATAAGGTAAATGATTTTATTTTTATTATGCAAAAAACAACGGAGATAATGGTTCTTTTAATGGTAATTAAAAAACTTGAATCAGTTAACAAACATTTTTTATTATACAAAATGGTACATAAATATCAATCCACCATTCTGTGTATTTGGTTTCAGTTATTCATAAACATTGAAGTGTAATGGTTTGCTATAAAGTTAATATATATATATATATATATGTATAAAAAAAAAACAAATAAAGTTAAAAACAAATGGAGTGGGGGATGAACTTTTTAAAAGCAACTTATATATTTGTATAAAAAGTGCATTAGAAATATGAAGATTATGTGAATAGCGATGTTTAATTATATTATAATTTACATTGCGTAATAAAATATAAAATACCTAGTTCAGAATTGCAAATCATAATGGTATAATAATGTCTTGTATATTTGTATGGTGTTCCGAGACAATATTTAAATGAACTAAATAAAATGTAATCATTTTAAATTTACACATGAATATGCGTAAATTATTGGTGTAAAATGGAAATTGAGCAAATGTGTAGAAAAAACCCAAAACCCACCATCTCCAGAGAACTGTTTCAACTTATATATAATAATATTAATGTTTAATAAAATGATAAAATAATAATATAGTCGTACACAAATGTGCAAGAAAATAGTTGTCACCACAAATGCGAATAAATTATGATACACAAAATTATACTTTGTAAATAAATTTTGCCACTTTATCATAGAGCATTGTTTAGCAATTTAAAATGAAAAAAACCCAATTAAACAAAATGTACACCAAAATAAGAAATTAGTTCCCACTAATATATTCAGTGTATGACAACTATTTTTAAACACTATACTTAAATCTTAAATAAAATAATATATAAATATATTTTTGTATTAATGAATATTTATAAAATATAAAATAAATAAAACCACCTTAGAAAATAATAATAATAAAAAAAAACACAAAACAAAACATAACTATGTTCAATAGTTAAAATAAACTAATAGAGAATATCATAATTATAGGTATCTGTACCAAATATGTTATGTGAGACAGACAACATATTATTATTTATCACATTGAACTCTTTGAAATGTTAATATGCTAAATATCACGTTTTAAACTTAAAATACATTAATGATCATTAAAAAGTGTCAAATTGAAAATATTAGTACCCGTGTTTAAAAATTATACAAAATAACCAGAATAGTATATAGATAAATAATAATAATAATAGTCAATAATTGTATTTGATTAAGCATTATAGCTAAAATATTTGAACATAATAAAATTTCAAAAATAAAAATAAATACGCCATATGTACGATATTTAACGGTCTAAGAAACCACCCTGTATACAATAACAATAACATAATTAATTTATAAATAAATAAAAACGTTTTTGGGGAAAGTTTTCTAATGGTAGAAAATTACTTAATTTTGATAAATAATATGAATGATTGTATAACATAATAACTATAATATATAATTTTTTTTTTTTTTTTACTACTTAATTCATTTTACAGCCTTTGTTTGACTTTTGGTCCATATAGGCTAAGAATAACAAAATAATTAGTAATGTCATAAAATTATGTAAAAAAAAAATAATAATAATAATTTAACATATTGTCAAGACAGTAGTTAAAATAAACATAAAATTAAATGCAACATAGAACGACCAGAATTTGAAATTACAAAGGGAACCATTAAATAGTAAAACTGTTTTTTTTTCTATTTAGAATGTCAATGTTTCCGAACAATATTGGCCTATAAGTATTCTGTATCAAATTAACATTCTAAAATTTAATCATAATCCTATAACACACCCTTTGTTATAAAATAATTCAAAACACCCATAAGCCAATAATTATTTACAATAAAGTAAGCTGGCTTTTACACTCTAAATTAAATTTAAAAAAAAAAAAAAAAACATTAATGAAACCTTATCACATCCAAACAAAATTATCAGTCACAGTGTTCCCATGGGTCGCCATATGTTGGTTGAGTAAATTACTATCAAAGAATGCTTGTCCACAAGAAACACACTCATAAGGGGCAGGTACCATACGTTCTTCACCGTGCAAGTTCTTTTCGTGTCTTTCGAGATGGGCTTGCCTAGAAAATGCCTTTCCACAAGTATGGCATTCAAATTTAGTTTCCTCTATAGAGTTTCCGTTCTCATCGCCAGACTTAGTCACTCGTCTTCTAGTCAACACCGGTTCAACTTTATGTATGCGTTTCAAATGACGTAACAAGTGACTACGGCGAGAGAATGTTTTTCTGCAAATTGTACAAAGTGTGCTCGGCTTAGGTCTACTTTGTTCAGGCTGTTGTTCATTAAGTTCGAGCACACTTACTGGAGGAAGTACTTCAGATTCACCCTCAGAATCTGAAAAATTTTCAGGCTTGACATCTCCAGCTGGAGCGGCATCAACTCTTATTTCTGACAGAGTTACTTCAGGAAGCATTGATGTGGAAGCTGAAGGAATTCCACTAATTCCAGGAATAATTCCACTGTGCAAATCTAAATGTTTACGTAGATGTTCATATCGAGTAAAACATTTACCGCACTGCCAACACACAAACGGTTTTTCTTCTAGTTGGTTGTCCAATATCATTGCATGTTCGTGAGCTCTTTTTCTATGTCTGAACAAATGTTCTTTACGCACAAATCTCTGTTTACAAATATCACAACAAAATGGTCTCGGCATATCGGATGAACTAGAACAACTTGGTATGCACATGAGATGTCTGGCCAAATGTTCTTTGCGTATAAACCGTTTGCCACAACGTTCACACGGGAAAGGTCTTATAGTACTGTGAGATAACATATGTCGCATTAAATGTTCTTTACGATTGAATCCACTAGTGCAAATACGACACACAAATGGCTTCACATCTTCATGAGTCATTTGATGACGTTTCCATGAGCTACGGCGGGGGAATGACTTTCCACATGTAGGACAAATGAATAACCGTTGTTGGACGTCAACTTCCACCGGTGGTTGAGGTTCTTCCTCATCGCGACAAACACCTTGATCAAACTCATAACACTCTCCGCACAAAGAACAAGGAAATGCACCTTTATTGATAATATATCGCCTATGAGTGACTAATGTTGTAAATGATTCTCCTAAAATATAAAAAAAAATCATTAACAAACAATTAATTTATAAAATTGAATTAAGTAAGAAACTATTTGAAAATGTTTTAATTTTACCAGACTTAAGTTTTTCAATAGTCTTTTCAAATACATCCCACATAGATGGTAACACTTCTCTTCGTATGCGTAAATTGTCAACAATATCTTTATCTGTATTACTCAAATCATTTGGTGACTTCTTGCAATTATTATACTCTATTAAATAATCACCCAAAACACCTGTTGGCCCATTTTTTCTGAAAATTCATATTATTATTAGATTTTTATTCAATTGTATAGCAGATCAGATTACAATAATTTACATCAACCTAAAAGAAACTTACACTGGTTCTAAATTAAAAGTTTCTTCCTTCATCAGTACATAATCTTCAGGTGATGGTTCCCCCAGAATAGATTTTTTTTCTTTTTTGTCTTTATCTATAACATTTACAAAATTAATATAATATTAAAAAAGCTATCCTAGGATAATGAGGAAAAGTGCAACCACTGTTATAGGTGAGAAGTTGGGAAGGTAATAAAGGGGAAATTTAATGTATATTATCTGTACACAACCATTAACCATTGTTAAAGGAAAAACAATTCTGAACGGAGTTCTGTTGATAATGATGCTTTGTCAACAATATATATGCCATATATTGGTAAAATAATTACATATGCATTATATATTTTTTTTGATAATATTTGTTTAATAATGTACTTATTTTCCTGTTTTCCCCTGTTTTTTTTTCCATTTATTGGTAAAAATCTTTAGAAAATTAAAAAATGTTCTCCCTATAGTACTACCCCAGTCAGATTAATTTCTGAATAAGTGCTGTCATTGTAAATCAGAGCAAAATTGCTGGTAGAAAATTTGTTCACAAAAAAAGAAATAAACATGATTGTAAACCAATACATTCCTCACTCCACTCAGAATCTAAAATAGTTTAAAAATAATAATTAAATATATATAAACCTAGAATTAATAATAATTTAAATATCTCCTACTTTGTATATAATATACAAGAAAAGATTATAGATATGTATATCTATATATTTAAAATATAATAGATTCTTATTATGTCAAACCTTACTATCTCAGATTTTTTATTATCTCAAACTACATTCAAATCCTCTTGAAACTACCATTACACCCGTTAACAATTTTCTATCGACAACTCAATATAAAATTAAAATTTTTTCGTTATCTCGAATACACAAATAACATTTTAATTACGGTAAGAACCGAAAAAATTGTGTAATACATTCAGTACAGTGATTACGTTCACATTTGTACAATATAGCTGTGAAATGGAAAATAAGCATGAGTTAAATGTCCTTACAATTTCAGATAACGTTCAATAAATACATAATACAGTTAAAAAGGTGGCATGAAAAATTTTTAAATTGCTAAAGAATTCAACAATTCACCAAATAAATTATTGTCAATTATGAAAAAGCAAAGATAAATTGTTGAAATTCACCGGTGGAAATATGAAAAATATGAAGATCACTGTTAATTTGGACATCGATAAATGCTTATTATAATGATTTACTCAGAGAATTGATAAAAACATACCAGTAAGTGGAACCATTTTACTTGAAAAAGCAAAGAAATAATAAGTATGTACAACAACTAGGACACACTAATTGTAAAGCTAGTAGTGGTTGGCTTACAAATTGAAAAAAAAAACATAATATGATGTAGTTTTTTTGAAAAGTTCTTCAGTAGACACATATTGTTGTTTAAATTAGATTAAAAATTATAATTATTTATTCATTTTTCAATTTTTTTTTTTTTGAAGTTTCCCTTTAGATTTGACATAACTCAAATTCACTGTAGATAGACTGATTTTGATAATGTTATGACTAGTTAGAATATATCACCCACATACCTTTAAAATTAATATTTTGTTCTTCGTCTTCGTCAGTTATGTCTATAATTAAATTGTTCGCAGATTCATCACCATCATCATTCTATGAAAATAAATAAAAGTATTTTTATAAACAGGTTGGGTATAGAAAGTAATTTAGTTTGTACACAAAAATAAATCATAATGAATAAAAAAGTGAGCAAAGTTTGGTTAAACAACATTTTTTGATAAATTTAAATTTTAAATTGACATACAACCAATTTTAAATTTCAACAGAATTATTGTTCCCTAAACATTCCTGATTTTCCTCCTATATTAAGAAAGAGTTAAGAAAAGTCAAAAAAAAGGACCCTCATACTAATACACAGACTAGAAAAAAATACCACCGATGTTGATGATTGGAGTAAGGCTTCTGGTTGAATACTTATTTACAGACAGAAAAATAAAAATAAAATAAATAAAGAAGCCAAATATATGATATAGTAATATATTAAAAACGTTTTTAAACAGTTCATAGAAATATAATTTTTAATATTTACAAAATCTTAGTTAAACAATAAATCAAAATCACATAATGAAAAACGCTTTGGAAAACACACGAGGAATTGTGAGTATACTAAGGGGCTTAAGGTTATTAATGAAACCATGTTATTCTACAGTTAATAAATAACAAAACAAATTGTTATCTGTACATATTTAAGAAGCATATTGTATTATACGAACGCAAGAAGTTTTTAAACAGATATTTATAAACGAGTTGAAAAAAGATATAGTTTACACCAAAAATATTCAACAAAAAGAATCAATCGTTTCCAGTTAGTTACTAAAAGTGTAATAGATATAGTTTTTAGTAACGCAATTATATGTACATCAATTTGGAATGTTTTACTACTTTGTCTACGAACAAAGAACAGATTCGCTGAATTGTACGAAGAGAATTCAAACGAAATATTATACAATTATGTAATGAAAACATAAAATACAACTACGACATTAATTAATGAATAATTAAGATGATATATTATAATGATATACCTACACATTTTGTTCAAGTTATTATATCTGTATAATATACCACCTTTTATTTAATATTATAATATATAAAAGGTGTCCAAGAGGAGACAGGTTTAATGTTGTGAAACATTGGATAATCATAATTCTGATAATTGATTTTAAAAAGTTTATATTTTTATACTGTATATTGTAATATTAAATATTATGCTATATTTTATTGTTAACAATTAATTGATAATATTGATAAAATGAAAAATAATGACTAGATAGAATAGATATATTCATTATAATTCAATTTCCATATACCTACCACCTACTAATTATGACGGGGCAATAAAGATAATATAATAAATGTATTACACTATATTACAGTCTCGTGTTTATTGTTTATAATTTATCATCAATAAATAAATGAATATATTATACCTGCTTAATACATTAGTACCGAGATAAAACTGGATTATTCCCTCCCGGTATGACCGTGGTAACAATAAATTGAAGAGTGTAAAATGTCATAAAGCAACGAGGCGATTATCAGAAAGAAAAGTATCGCGCTATACTTAATAAACTGTTGGTTGATAAATACCCAGCTTTCCATACCGTTATTTAACACCAAGATATGAATTGTAGGTAGGATCGTAAATTTAAAATCAATATATTATCTAATCGTAATAATCGCAAGTATTAAATAATACCTGATTATTTGAGTAAAAAAAAAAGAAAAGAAAAAAACCTCCGGCATTTAGATAGAATAAGCTAGCTAAGCTTAAATTATAAAAAAAAACTGTATAATATATATTTATGTCAAAGTATACAATAATTAATCATATTATTCCAGAATAGTACCTATAACCTGCCTGTTATAATCGTACGTTTTAGACATTTTAAACCAAAAACGAGAATAATGGAATATTGAACATAACCAAGGTACATTTATTAAAAGAGAAGTAAGCTTTTTCAATACAAAAAAAACTACATACTGCTAAATACTATACATTATATTCCTTATTATACAGTATAATTTGGTTCATATGTTACAACATAAATTGTGTTTACTCATGATATTAATATACCAACTACAAATAATAATATGCTTAAATAATACACATACATTAAATATGATTGAGTAATAATTATTATTTAATACGAAGGTAGTTTACTTTATCTCCGTCCGAGAATTGTTTAAGCCGCGTGTTGTTCTGTGAACACATGTCATAAAATTGCTCCCATTCAGTTAACATCGTCAAACATTTAGAACATACAATTTGAGATAAACCATCGCCTTCTGAAATCTAAAGAAAACAAACAAATGTTTAGGTAATTTCTTTAATAATTATTTATACGGACAATAGAAAGACTTTTTTCTTGTTGTCATGTTTAAAATATTGCTGAAGTTTATGAAAAGGGTGTACACCGAAAAATGCCAAACTTACAAAATGTTTTATCAAGGTCTCAAATAGCCATCATATAGCTACTGAGATAACCGAGTTTATTTTTGTTGGATGGATGTTTTTAAAATATCAATTTATCAATACTGTATGTATAATAATTAAAACAAAATAATTTGTAAAATTATTGAAAAGTAAGTATTGTCAGTTGTATCTATTAAAGGCAGAGTAGGACTTATCATAGACTTAAATACCTCATACACTTAAACATAGACTTCATTACGACTTTTCCAAACTTTTTAATAAACATAAAAAACAAAGTTACAGATATGATCCCATTGACTCAGGACGGATTGGACTATAGGAAAATTGTCTTCATGTGTGCTATACTATACTATTATGTAGTTTATAATATAAATACATAAAACTGTATTGTGCTGTATGCTTTTAAATGCTGTTGATTACAGTTTTAGTGTTTTACGTAGTTACCTAATTGAACAACTTAAAAACAAAAGCAAACTTCGTTGAGAATTTATCTTATTATTTATCAAATATAGGTTCAAGTATTTAACCATGAATCATTTCAATTAAAATGTATTGTTGTACCTACTATCTAGAAAAATAATTTGAGCAAGTGTATATACACACAAATAAATTAGATGCTTGCGATAGAATCGTACAAGAGAGGATCATAGGGAAGATTTGTTCGGGTTAAAAATACAAACGTGCCAAATCGTGAAAATTGTTTCGTGTAAAAATTAATGTTTGTGGCCAGAATTAGAAAGTGGCCGGGCGAGTGATATAAGGTCAGTTTTCAAATTGGCCTTCCTAGAATTTTCACAACAATATTGTGTTTAAACTATCAAATATCTGTTGATGGGCATTTATATAAAACATCCTGCAAATTTCGAACGTGGTGGGCGTTTTGTCGAAACCGAATACGCATCAATTTGACCAAATGAAATAGGGAGAGGGGTGGAAACACCGGAAGCCACACCAAACATATCATTCCACTCGCACCTACGATTTGGACGGGTTCGATTCATATTTCCACGGACCGGTAAAAGTAACCAAACGGCTGGGCGCTGTCGATATCGCACAAGAATAATAAACTTCATTTTACTATGGACGACACGCAGATGAGATGCGAGTCACACGTCAGGACGGGGTATTGGATGAAAAGCGAACGATACAAATCAAACGGATTCCCAGCGCAATAATATGCGTAAATAGAAATACCGGGAAAAATATTGAACACCGTCGATTCGACCGGGTACCGTGTCACCGACGCGAATGCGACCGTTTCGCAATAACCGAAACGCAATTTGGCACGACGGCGGTCGACAATTGATAACGTGTCCAACGACGAACGGCGGCTGCAGTTCACCCGCTCGCGAACGTTATGCGTCGGCCGACGACGGATCCGGAACCGCACACGCACAGCCGGTAGTGTAGTAAAGAGGCGCGAATGGAGAAAAGAAAAAAAAAAAAGGTCAATAACCAGACCTGGGTTACGGAGAACAGAAACCAAGTGTGACGCACTGGTTCGGAACGGAACAAAAACACTGCCCGCGTCGGCCCTACGGCGGGCGGTACGGTATTTTACGGTGGTCGTCGGACGGCGAGACGGCGTACGAAAAGCCAACGGTCGCATTCGGCGAAACGCAAAAGCCCGCCATTTCGGGCACGAAGTGCGCGCACACGGGCTCCGCCAAACACACACGGCCGGCGGCGGACGTGCTGGCGCAGCTGTTCGCCCGCACGGCCGCCGCACGCAACGACAAATGTCGTTATCAGGTGACGTAATCATATCGTTGATAATAACATAATAGAGTAATATCGTTTCCAAAGGTGGACGGGTGGACAGGAGGGGCAATAGATGGCCAACCGTTAGCGGTGATAGTGGCGAACGCGAGTTGCGATCGTTCGCGTACGGCCGCCGAAACCGAAACGGGCCGTAATTTGCAAAGGCAGGTGGCGGACCAAAGGCCCAACAATAATAATTTGCGCGCCGGGGGCCGTTGTACAGCTGCTCGCTCACCTGTATCCGTAAGTGTTTGACAATGGTGTCGCGCAGACCGCGGCCGCCGGGGCGTGTCCCGCCACCGCTGTTGTTCGCAGTGGCGGCGGCGGCAGTGGCGGCGCCGGCGATCCGGTGCCATTGATCCACGTTCGCCGACGAGTTGCAGCACAGCCTGCAGCAGCTAGCCGCGGTGGACGTCGACGGTTGGCCGTACGGACCGTCGTCTCCGTCGTGGTTCGCTTGTGGTTCCATTGCGGCCGTCGCGCGAACGTGATGGTACTGTACGTCGAAACGCGAACGACGGGACACGTTACGGAACGGTAAAAATAATTACAACGGAACAGAGAGAAAAAAAAAAAAAAAAAAACACGCTGCCGGCGTCTGGAAAACCCGTAATTAATTAATTTGTTTTCGCGTCTTGACCCGGAAAATTCGAAAACTCGCGCAACCCGCACGTGATATCGGTTACGGAAAAACGCAATATCAAAAGGCTGTAGTCGGGCAACGTAACCATACGACGGCGGCGGCGGCGGTGGTGGTGGCGGCGACGACGACGACGACGACGACGGCGCGATGGCGTACGCGAAAGACGGACGACCGTGTGCTGCGGCGGCGGTTACGAGAGTTTCACGGATAATAATATTGTGGTGCGGCGCGGCGCGGCCGGGGACCCGTACGGCGAAGCGGCGGCGGCGGCGGCGGCGGGCCACGTAGACGACGGGTGTTGTGAGTGCGAGTAGTGGATTACGATAAAAAAAAAAAAAAAAAGGGGAAAAAGTGTACGAAAAAAAAGTGATGCGCTCCGGCGGCCCGCGGGCGACGACCGAGGAACGCGGCGCGTTAAAAATTGGTGGGGAGGGTTCGCCTCGGCGCGGCGCGCGAGCACCCGAAACGGTTCGGCGGCGCGGCGGTAGAAGCACACACCAAGCCCCTACCCAGAGAAAAAAAAAAAAATTCCCCGAGAATAATTGATATATCGGCGGACGCCCCCCGCCGACGCCTCCGTCGGGTCGCGTTTGTGTGTGTGTGTGTGTGTGTGTGTGTATGTGCGCGCGCGCGAGTGTGCGTGTGCGAGCGAGCGAGCGCCATTAGGGGGGAGGGGAGGCGGCTGCCGGTTCGCCGGAGAGAGGTCGTTCCGGGAAGGAGGAGGTTTGACTTGGCGGTGGGGGTACGGGCTCCGGCGAGAGCGGGGAGGTGAAAAAAAAAAAATGCGTTTATATATATATATATATATATATATAAATGTACGTGAACCGTACGCGCGCGCTCACCACACGAAAATAAAACCCGACGGCAACGCGGGGCTTTTTCTCGGGCTTCTATTTTTGTGATTTCCGTGCGCCCGCCAGCCGACACACCCGCGCGCCGCCGCCGCCGCCGCGATAATATAATATTTCTCGTTACGGCGGTGGCGTGTTTTCGTGCACGGCCGTCGTGCAGGTACGCTGCCGCGCCGTAAAAGCCCGGCCACTTGACCCCCACCACCCCCCCGAACCCGTCGTCGGACACTCGAAAATCCGGTGCACGAAAATGTCATCGTAAAAACGACGCGACGGGTTTTCGTGTTTTTCGCAAAACGCCAAAAATCGAGTGCGGCCGGGCGAAGAGATTTCCGGGGCCGAGGACGACCGCTCCCGCCCCTCTTTCTCGCGCGTCCCCCCCCCCAGTTGTGCGTTCGGTGGACCTCGAGAGCGCGCGTACTATGCCTATACACGGCCGCGCGCGCCGTACCGGTGTGCCCCCCACCGGCGCGGCGCCCGTTATCCGTCGTGACGCGCGCACGCTCAGGAGGGGGGGGGCCGTCGTCGCCGCCGTCTAGAGTTGTTGACCGTCGTCGCCGCCGCCGCCGCCGCCGCTGCCGCCACGCCGCCGTTTTGACACGGCGGAAAAAATAATATAACGTACGGGTGAGCGGAGTATTGGTGGAAAAAAAAAAAAAAAAAACAAAAAGAGAGAACGCGAAAAAAAACACGACGAAAAACCGACCGAACGGCGGCGGCGGCGGCGTACGCGAAAACGAAATAAAAACGTTGCTGCGCTGCGGAACAATAATTTTTATTTAGCACACGTACACTCGGCGTGTGAAATGCGTAAAAGAGCCGCGGCCCGCGACCGACGGGGAAGAGGGAAAATTTCACGACCGTAACGACGCGAAACGAGAGATCTTTTTCGGTTACGAGTCCGTCGGCCGCGGCGGTTTTCATTATGACGGCCGCGGTCGACAAACGCGTGCCGGAATTCGGTTCGGGGGACGTGCGATTATATTAACCGAGTGCACCGGGAATCCGGCGCGCGTTCGGAAAATCGCATTTTCGCCGGAAAACCGCGGACGGGTACGACAACGAAATCAAGAAAACGCGTTTTTCTCCGGCACATCGGACCGATAAATCCGCAACCACCGTGTAAAAAACGACGCATCACTCGTTGCACGCAGCGCGTGGCCGGCGAATTGTCCGCGGGATGCAGTGAATGAGAACCGCGAATCGTAAACCGTTAAATCGCGTTTTTATTTTAATACACGACTCGACGGATCGTCAAGTGAAAGGCCGGATTCTAAATGATCAATTTCTAACCACCGCGTCGAGATTCCCCTCGGAACTCGGCCGAAACACGCGCGTTTCGATACCGGACTACTCGTATTCGTTTGTATTTTTAAACCAACGCGCGCCGGGGAGAGTGGATACAACCCCGAACCTCCACCACCCAACCCTTGCACGCGCCACCGGTTGTCCGTATTATTTATACTTTCGTTCGAGGACGAAGTTTGGGCCCGTTATGCGATCCGTACCGAAACACGAAACGATCCCACTGAATTTGTTGGTTTTAACGGTTGAAAACCGCTATTGTTCTCCGGTTAAATTTAAACTCGTCCCTGCGCGTTCCGAAACGGACCGATCGCGGAATCGGAAACGCCTTCAAAATTTCTATAAGACATTTTGGTATTTTTTTTTTTTTTTTATGAACTGGTGCATTTCGATCCGAGAGTAGGCTACACCACTCGTGTTGTTACGTCGCCGATACTTTTACGCCTCGTACGTGACAAAAGTGTAGCCGGCACTAATACCCGTCGTAATGGCGCAGTTTTTCCACCTACTCGCACCATTGCTCGTACTCGATGACGGTACTGTTATACGCGTAACGGATGACGAAAACGTGTTCCGTCCGCCTCCCCTCGTCGTCAGTGGCGCCGAACTCCACGTCAAGCCCTGGCCTCGGCCCGACCATTTTTTTCTAATTGAGCTTGGGGTTCATTTCGGTGCGCGAAATTCGGTCGCCGAACCGAACGAGTACATCGTCACAGACATAAAAACCAGCGCTAACCGTGATTTCGCGGTGTGTTTAGTTATTGAGGCCCCCTGAAATGTATTCCGCTCGGCCTCGTTTTTCGCACTCGCGCGCCACTGCCGGTGGCGTAGTTTTCCCACGGATTTCCCGCCCGGTTTTCGGCGTTGCGGGACGCCGCGCGAGATATTCGCGTTCCCACGTGTCTACCAGCAATACGGGTACCCATAGAGGCGTATTGTGAAATCGATAAATTCCTACGGCGTCGGTCAGGCTATCGCGATACGGGGGATGTTGGGAGGAGGGGGGGGAGTTGGTTGTAGATGAAACCTATGGTAAAAAACCGATACATAATATCATGTTTCGTTTCCGGTCAGGGCTAAATTTCGTATCCCCCACGGTGCAGCTCGGGGCGGGGGCCTGCAGTGACGCGCGACACGTATTGCACGCACCGTGATTTCACGACAATGATATTCTAAAACGTATTTCACTGTCGTCGGCAGTGACGTTATTACGAAAACAAAAAAAAAACAAAATAATAATAATTCGACGTTGGTTTCAATGTTCAAAGTTCAATTATAATATGGAAAAAAAAAAAAAAAAAACAACGGCGCTCGTTCAACACCAGCGGTGGGATGTTACAGAACGGTAACAAACAAACAGTAGCTCGCGCCGGTGAGTGAGAGTTTAAGGGCTTTATAACCCCCCCCCCCTCCACCGTTGACTAGGGAATACCGAAAAATACCGGGTATTCCAGTATCGGAGCGCGTGGTGTGTTTCGGCCAAGTAACGAGGAATGAAGCTCGACGTGTTGATTAGGAATGGGTTCTTTCTCGGGATCCGGCTTTTAACATTGCCAATATTGCCGAGTCGGGTGGAGAAGTCGATTTCGCGAGTCGTTCGCCGTTTCTCACTGATTGCTACACATCCACGCCCGTTGAAAATTCCCGGGCACGCCACCGCAACGACGAGTCAATGTCATATCGTCCGTGCAAACTATTATGCACCCGCCTGTTTCCGAATTAAAATGTCTTTTATAGTTTTCTGTCGGAAAAATCGACGACTGCGCTAATAAAACATGTCGGTTCCTGTATGTGGCCCGTTCACGTATACAGACTGTAGACAAACCCGAACGTGTATTATTTTCCCGTTTAAAACGTATCCGACGCCGGTTAGGCGCCCGAATAGTAAATAAATTGTTAATAATAATTACTAGCCCGGCACAGATTTCCGTGATAATTTCAGAACCGGTCGAATAATATCAATTACTTGCGCGGTTATGTGGATAAAAAAATCAATTTTTTTTTTTTTTTCAGTTTCACCCCGGACCCCGGACACGCGTTTTCGAATACAAACGCAAATTTCCAAATTCAACATTTATCTCCCTCCGATTTTGTGCAGTCGGCAGCGTAACAATAAAACGATAACAGCAATCAGGTCTCGGATTTTATAGCATTCGCTGATTATTCTAGGATACAGATTACAAAAGCAGAGTGAGCTTTGCACTTGTTTACGCACCAAAAAATTCCAAATATTTAAATTTTATATTGTTCCTTTTGCACGTTCAAAGTATTTTAGATGTTTAGTGTTATTTTTGGTAATATTCATAGTATAATGATTTATTTTATAATGCACAATGTGTTATTGTTTTACCACAATGTGACGCACTCTTATTAACCGAGCTCCGCTCAGAATCATTTTCCGTTAGCAATGGTTAATCGTTGCGTGCGGATATACATTACATTTTCTCTCTACCTTTCCAACTTCTCAGCTACAACAGTGGCCCATTCACGTGCGAAATATGTTCGTCTTTTTTCAAATTGTTTTTTCTTGTCCCGCAAAGTACGACTTATAATGAACCCTTTGCTACATTTTCAAGCAATAGTTTTATCCACAGAGTACCTATCGAATAAATATCACATAAAAAAACTCACAAAATTAAAATATCTATAAATAGTTAGAAAATGCAGGCTAAAATGTTTTGAAAACTGTACCACGTCTGGAAAAGTCAAATATAAGTCTACTATCTAAATGTCATGACTCTAAAAATATTTGTAACTGAATCACAACAATGAAACAATAATATTCTCTCGTTTTTTTCCCGATTATTACGGAAAACCGCTTAGAAAATTAAAAAAATGACCTCCATAAAGTATCATCCAGATAAAATTTCCTTTCAGAAAAGTCACTGCGTTTGAAAATCGGAACATGGTTTCTGGCAGAAAAGTTGTTTACAGATGAAAAAAAAAATAAAAGAAATAAATATAAACATCATTGTAAAACCAATGCATTCCTCTTTTCGCTCAGAATCTGAAATCAAACACAATAAATGTTTTTTGCCAATTGTTCACGTTTTTGTGGTAAATTTTAGCAATTAGTTTTTTCATAGGTCGTATTATTATTATTATAACGCATATTTCAGTTATTTTCAGTGGATCGATATAAAATCCGACCGTTTTCGTTCTGTTGACCAAAAGTAAATCATCGCAATATTATCATTGCCCGCGCATCAGACATTACGTATGTAATAATTTAAATACTCGATAAACACCCGCGGACGGTGTTAATAATTATTTAATTAAACCGGCGAACGATTATCGAGTCGGCGCTTTCGCCGTCCGCGCAATAATTTTGCAGTCAAATCTCCGTCGGTTACGGCCATTACAGTATTATTATTGTCGCGCCCGTTAATCCGTATTATTATTAAATATTCTCAACAATAACGACAGCGCATGCGAAGCGTTAACCGTCGATAATTTACGAATTAATAATACCTTTTGCCCCGGGGGAGACGAGCAAATTGCACTGTGAAAATTGCAAAACGCGTTCGAAATGCCCCGAGTGATCGCGTCATTGATCGACTCGCGCTTTTTTCGCCGAACAAACAGCGTTGGAACGCAAGCTGTCTTATGTGTCCAGTGTAACGTGTCTTAGGAATTCAGAATCTGCACGATGACGCACACTATGATGATATTTAGAGCGAAAAAGAAAAGAAAGTTTTCGTAAGACAAAACTGTACAAACAAATAAATAACAAAAAGAATTACTCCTCCCCGAAACCAAACAACCAAAGATATATTACACGGTCAATTTATCATTTAAAAATATATATACTCCTCCGGTCTAAACTTTACACGGTTGTAACTCATAAACGGTAAATCTGATAGTATAGTGTTATGCATACCGACATTTTAAAAAAAATATTCTCTATTCGAATCTGTGTCCAAAAAAGGGGGGTTCGGTTCCCGTTTGAAAAACAAATGCATGTACTTATTTATTAAGGTACGTAGAGTAGGGGTGAACAATTTAAAAAATGGCTTTAAAATAAAGCTTAAACGATTTCACAGTGATTTAAAAAAAAAAAAAAAAAAACAGAAATCAAATTCACTTAAAATCTTCCGAGATAATTACTGGTTCATGATAAAAACAAAATCACTATGTAGCCGCGTTCGCTATAAAGACGATGATTTATTTTGGATTATGAGTGTATAGCGAAAAATCTAATAGTTTTACTGTAAAAGATGTGGGTTTTTTGTTTTTCTACTCTTTTAACGTACACAATTCGCCGATTTTTTAGGCGATTCCCATAATACCTACGCTGAAAAATACGGGATGTCTGAGTCGAGTACTTTACTCGAAATATTTTATGCAATTTTCAATCATTCAATCTCTGGATCGTTCATGTCGGGAAACCCCTTTTCGGCGTGTACACGATGTCACGTTTCAAAATAGTTCGTGTGTAAAATATGAACACATCAGTGTTATTTCCTTTGATGGCGCACATCAGAGAGTGTTGTGGTGTCGACCGACACACTTTGAACTCGCATATGGTACAGAATAGTTATTTCAACCGTGTTGCAAACAATGTATATTATTGTGCTACGTCGTTATCGGATACAATAAACGATTGCAGCTATTTAAACCAAACAAATAAAAAAACTCGGTTATTCCGTGTAAAAAAAAATATATGTTAATAACATACCTACACGTAACTTCCTCAGCTATGGTAAGCGGGTGGATACCTAACCTAACACGGACAGTTGTACGTTTGACACCCTCGTGAAAAATCCACCGCGAGCCGCCGCTTATTTTTTGTTGATTTTTGCTGGGTTCCCTGAAAATGTATACGTTTTGTGTGCGCGTGTTTTCACTGTGTGCACGACCGGCGTGCGACGCCGTGAACTAGCTGTAGCCGCTGTTGTAGATTTATAAACGTATTAGGTGCCATCGGTTGTTTACTGTAAAACTGTTAACGAAATAGTTATGGTTAAACGGTCGTGTGCTTTTATTAACGTAATCACACGGAACGCGTCGGCAGTCTAGTAACAGACTGGTTCGCGTTTATCTGTAATGTTCCGTCTACTGCTCCTGCCGTTCATTGTCGTAAAACGTATTGGGTCCCGCACTAAACTACCAATGCCTAACTTTGAATTAGGCGTGGCGGCCACCACACCTAATCCAAAGGTTCGTATCTACTGCTATAATACGCCTAAATCGTGCTACATTACAGCGCCTACAGACATTATTATTTACAGTACTGACGGGCGGGCAATCGTTTGCGTAAGGCTGAACGAGCGCCGTTGTCGAACGTTTCGAAACACGACGGTTCGCCGAGTCAGGAAACATTTTGAACAATCGCGTACGACAACAACGTTCGTCCTAGCGTGGACCCGCGTCAATATTATAACAATTTACCATTCGTTTCTACGGATGGTTTTTTTTTTTGTACACCGTTGGAATGCCGAAACGACACGAGTTCCGTGAACGGATTTGAATTCGGCGTGAAGTGCACATAATACCGAGATCGGCCGGGCCACTTTTATTCAATTTAATTTGATTTCCCCCCCTACACACACACACACACACACACACATTTACGAATCAAATTCGAGGTCTGATATTCGTAAAAGTTCCCTCCCTGGTCGATGGCTCTTGTACAACTCACGCTAAATATAAATCTGTTTTCAAAACTCTTATCACTTTACTGTATCGACCGACGGAAAGAAAATCGGTCTAAATTGCTATATGCTCTACGTATATGCTGGACAAAGAAATATACGGGCATTTCCGTTCTATTTCGAATCTCCTTAATCGTAATAATTTAAGACAGATTCAAGGCCCACGCCATGTTTATAGCGGAATACATGAATAACGCCTGCGTGTATAATAAAGTGCGTTGATTGCTGGTTAGGTTACCATCACTGAAGTCTGCAGCTAGTGTACCATCATCGATTCTGTTCGGCGGTTTCTTTTTACATTCGAAATCTAAAAACAGTGAGCGGTAATGCGTTTTAAGTGTTTGGTTATTTTTTCGTAACAATCAAATGATAAAAATTGCAGAACGCGATTACCGTGTAACGCGTTATGCGGGCATATTTTTACCCGGCCTGTACACACTTAACCAGAGTTAAAATATACCCGATAAATTATTGACATTTACCCTTGCAGGTATTGCACCTCCTGACATCCGCCGGGGGGTCAAAGCTGACTGGGAAAGAACGAAACAAAAACACAATGAGTTACGTCCGATGTTTGGAACGAGCCCACCGGCCGCTCGCCTGAAACCAAGAAGAGTTTCCTAAAGTTTACACAAATATTGGGAAGAAATCAGGACCGAGAAAGGATCGACTGATGGAAATTCTCCTTAGACAAGGAGACTGAGAAGTGAATAGTGCCGACCGAGCACCCACTTGCAGCGAACAATTTAGAGTGGCCTGCGCGGGGAACAATAAATAGACTAAGAGTAGGACTTGGGTGATCCAAAGAAAACCGAGCGAAATGGGGTCTTATTTCTGATGAAGATACACATTGTGATTATGGACAGACTCAGACCATGACCCACACCTAATAAACTGCCCAAGCTGCCCAACTTCCTGCACAATGGACGATATCATGTCGGCGACCAAGGAAGGAATAGAAGTGGTCGAGTTTTGGCAAGAAAGAATTTGACACACAACTCCCGATATCATTATACTATACGTTAACAAATTAAACCGACACCAAATTAACTACTTATTATTATTATTATTTATTATTTTATTTATTTATTCGTGTTTACTTATTTTATGTTACCGACTCGTATATCTGTTTATGTTAATATTAATTTTAGTTTATTACATTTATGTACAAGGTTGCTCGACACGAGATAATAATAATTAACATTTACAATTAAGAAATTTTGGAAATTCATAAAAAATATTTCCATCGATTTTTAATTTTATATTAATGGGTACACTGCGCACGTACTGTTTTTCGCTAAAAACATGCTTGACTGGGAAAACTCTCATGGCTGCGATTTAGAAATTTACAATATTATTTATTTTTTTTTTATGCCGAAACGAGGAAAACTTTTTTTTATAGAACACGTTTGATTATGCAAACGAAAACCAGAAATAAATATTAGTTTAAAAATCGGTTATACGCTATACCTAATTGTAGTGTTCGGAAATTTAATTTTTCAAGAAGTCTTGTTGTTTTCGAAAAAAAAAAATCAAAAAAAAAAAAAAATCCAAAAACCGGTCGAAATAAAACGAGTCGCGCGCGAGTCCCTTAATTAATAACCGCCCAGACCAAACGGCGTACACCCACCGCGGTTCGGTGTCCGAAAATACGTTACGCGCAAAATATGTGTGATGGCCGACGCGTTATTACTCGATTATTTTTTTTTTTTTTACGGTATTATTGGTGTAATGACGAACATAGGATATTATCGCGTTTCCCCGTAAATACCGATAACGGCAGTGGATTCGTGTCCGCGAGTTACAATGTACGCTGTGTTAGGACGGTTTTTAGAAGAAAAAAAAAAAATGGTTTTTTTTTTTTTGTTTGTCCGCAGCTGTCGAATATCGCAGGAAAGGTCAAAAACGATTCATTATTATTATTGTGTTGCCGGCCGACCATGCGCGGATAATAATCCCCACTGCGAAACGACTGTGCGCGCATTTTTCGGGAATAATAGTAATAGTGTATTATAACAGTGTCAGACGCTTGATATTATTCCGACTCCGCCGAGACGATGATAATATTATTTTTTTTTTTTTATTTTTTCGACGATCAACGACTACGAAATACAGAGTGGTCGACGCCACCGTAGGAGCTGCTTTTAGACGGCGGTCCGAACGCGAACGGACGGACGGACACGAGGCGAATTCAGTACGCCTGGACGTCCGGTTGTACGCACTTCGTTCGTTCGTTCGCGGCTCACGCGCATATTAATCGTAAGGGCGTGTTGTCGGGACATTTCGTTCTTCTATGCAGGCATTTCGTTCCCCTTAAAATGGATCGGAATGTTCTCGCAGTGAAACGAAAAAATCTCAAGTGTCAACGAGTTATCCCGGTGGAACAAAATGACACCTTGTTGCCACCATTCATGACCGTTGCGAAGGTGTCAGCTGAATCCGTTCAGCGGTTATACGGCGTGAAGGAGTAACAGACATCCATCCGCCCCACAGCGTGGGTGGACGGATTTGTGTGGGTCCCACGCAAAACATTCGCATTTATGTTATAAAGTAGGACGAAGTGGGAGGGTTCTTTGATCGTTCGCTCTCTTACCGCTCTCCGAGCGAAACGATTCAAAGGTGAACGAATGCATTCGGTCGGATCGTTTAATATTGGGCGATTCGCTCGTTCGTTCGTTCGTGTTCGGACCGTAGTCTAAACGCGCCTAAAGACACTCATTGTCTCGGAAAGAATGTGTTTTTTCGTAATTGGTGTTTTAGAAACTGTAAGTAACAAACCAATCTGAAATCTCACCGTTATTTCGGGAGTGAAACCTTTACCATTTTTTTTTTTTGGTTTTCAAACAGCGACCTATGTGAAAAATTCCACAAATTAACGTAACTATTATGTAACATGTTTTAGACCAGTTTGTTTCCAACAATACTTTCTACAAAACATATTCCGAAAAAAATTAATTCTTTCCGATATGTCGAGTGCCATGTTGACCACTCTGTATAATAACCGCACCACCGATGCGCCGTGTCGAGCAAATCACGACGAAAACGACCAACTATGCACCGAAGTAGGTACTCGACACGCGTACTGGATATTATATTATTATAAATTTATATTTTTTTTTAATAATATAAGTAATATCGTAAAACGTCGACTGACCGTAGCAGCGGAAGGGCCGCCAGGGTTCCCAAAATATGTTACTTATTATTATTAGTTTTTCACGAGGTATTGTTTGACTCTGAACGTAGCCGAGTGTATTGCACTGCAATACGTGTTTATTTCTCGCAGGTAAAACACTGTTCGGTTGTTAAACGTTTTACGAAATTCCTAATAGTTTTTCCGGAAAATTGATTTTTAAGGTTTTCTTTTTTTTTTTTCATAAACACTTTTTGGTTAAAAAGTCTAAATTCTCAACGGGTTTTCTCTCAAGTTGACAAAAATAATGTGAATTTTATTTGATAGTGTTTTGTCTTTTCGTTGATTTCTCAGTTACCTTCCGGGCTACGGTAGGGAGAAACGCGACCAATGCAGTACAGTAACACGACTGCTGCTCACACCAGTCCGTTCGGAATTCGTTGTTTTCGGTTGCAATAATTTACCGTCGCACGCTACACGCGACACTCTCGCAACGCAATAAACTAAATCGTCCCGTACGTCCTGCCTCCGTAACTTCATATTACACACACACACACACACACACACACACAACACACACACAAACATATATATGTATATAATATGTAACCGTACATGCGGTACCTACGCGACACACGCGAGACTTTTCAGGACGTCGATGGTATTGACGGGGACGTTGAATTCGGGCGTTCGTCGCCGCTGTTCGCGCAACGCACACGCGCGTTTTGTAGTGCTTCCCGTACGGTTTCTCCGCGGTTGATACACACACACGGCCGCCGCCGGAGAAATATTCGGCAAAACGAAATTGCGTAACGGACGCGGTCCGTGTTCAGCGGCGCTGCAGCGGTCCCGCAGTGCCGAACGGTCGCCGTCAGACGCGCGCCCGCGGCGCGCCTTGGTTCCCGCCGAAATTCGCGACAATTCGCGACGCGACGTACGCAAAATTACCCGGCGCGGCTCGCCCAGGACCCGTCGTATCGATTTTGCCGGCGACGCGGCAGCCGATAATCAACACGGTAACGAGTGGAATGCGTATCTCGTTAATATTTTTGCCGTCGACATTTTCGCCGTCCGCGCGTCACGCGAAACCGATCCCCGGGCGACTTGACACGCGTTTCCCCGGGCGTTCGTTCCGGACGTTACCGTACGCCGTACGAATCGGGCGCGCCAAACGCTCCGTCCGAAAGGTTCGATCGCGGAAAACACGGAAAATCGACGGCGGTTATTACGACATTAACAACATGTTGCGATAATATCATAACCGACGGTGCTCGTGCAGAGTTTTTTATTTATTTTTTTTTTTTTTAACAGGAACCTATACGCGATGATTTCGTCTGCGTCCGATGATCCATACAGGATGATGGCGTACCTATTGTTTAAACTATCGATTTTAATACCGTGTGTTTGTTGTTTCGTATTATATTACATTGTTCGACACGTTTTGGTTTATACGAACGAGACTAGTGTTATTCGAATAGACAATAAAACTCGGTAACCCCATTTTTAAACTGCGAAATACAACCAGACATAACATGAAATATTGCAATATCGATTAGTAATTTATTAGGCGGGTAATAATTTGTTTTCATGAAGCGTATAGACCCTTTTTTTTTTTTTTTTTAATTTATTTGAATATTATTGATTTTGATTAGGTATAATTTACCACATATATAAAGCTAGAATGGTCGTGTGAGCTGCGCAAGAAGTAGGAATCCGTTATTGAAAATAGTTTTATAGGAAAATCCGAGAGCTACATCGTGTCTTCATCGGGAAGACGGTATCAAGCAGGATTTTTCAAGTATCATAGAAAAGGAACAAAGAAATTCGGACTGAAAGGCAACAGTAATGAATAGAAAAGACCGGAAGAGTCTTTTGTTCGGCAAAACGGTCTCAACGGCCGTGAAAAAAGGAAAAACAAATTGTTATACATTTCTAAATCTTGGCAAAAACCATCAAGATCATATTATCTTATCAATCATATAGTGTTATGTCTTATCGTTACCTGATTGTTTATGTACCCATAATATTACACGTTATATGTTCCAAAATAAATTGGAAAATAAATAAATAATTTAAAATTTAAAATTTTTTTTTCTTTTATTTGTTTTTTCCTATTTGGAGGGGGGGGAGTTTCTGTGTAAAACGGATATCGTTTTAATACGCGTAAATCACAATATAATTAGTTATTATATTATTGTTTGTGAAACATTTGAAAACTTTATTTTTTAAATTTTTATATTAATATGTTGCGTTCACGTAAATAGGTATACTTTTATTTTTTTTTTTTTATTTTTCTCGGCTATACATTTCACATAAAACGCATTGTAAAAAGATGAGATCAGGTTATTAAATAATACAATAATTACGTGTACTGTGGTAATCTTGTTACGAATTTCAATTATTTTGAAACCAACTATCTACTACAAAGTCCGTGTAGTTTCTCTAAGTATGTACGGGTACGAATGCACGATAATTGTAACATAAAAGTGATTTCCTACCTAGGTTGTATTAATAATTAGTGTATGTATGTCTGCGGCCATTTGGTAAAGGATAATTAAATGTCTATTAAGCTACAACAGTCGGATTTGTGTATATAATGCTCTAATAATAAAATAATTGAAAGAATTCGTTGCTATGCGATGAGTTTTTGGAAATGAAACATCAATTATTTAAATGCTAAATATTACTAATAACTGACCATCAATACAAATAATATATCTATAATAAAGGTCCTGTACAGTGTACATATTATACAGGGTCTACTGAATTGTTGGGCAAACTGTTTTCCAAAATGTTAACCATTTTAAGAGTATAATATTAAGAGTAGAATTAAGATTATGAGGTTGGATACCTAATAATCTTAATGATCCTTTAGTATAAAAAATGTATCGAGCTCACGACTGTATATTAGTGTATTTCAAAATATTATAGTATTTATATCTTATCGGTTCATTAGAAAATTGAAAAATATTCATCAATTTTCGATTTATAATTACTGGAACAATTGTTTTTTGATTTAATCGAGATGTTTTTTAGATTCTAAAACGAACTTTTTTTTTCGATTCCTATGTACTTTTATTCTCGGATATGAGGAGCGTTCAAAATGTTTCGTGCGTAAGGTTTTATCGATCGAAAATTGGACACAGATGCGGTGTATATATATTTGTATTAGAGAGAGGTCAAAATAGTAAATTCTAATAGTTTCGCCGTGAAAACGGTAAAAAAAAAAAAAAAGCCGTGAAATAGTCAGATAAAATGTCATTTCAGTACAGTAACTCGGATCATATGGCTTAATATAATACCGGGTTTACACTAAGCCGATAAAAGCAATTTTCTGTTTTTCGACAAATAGGAGACAAAATGGAAACAATTCCATAACATTATTCAAACTCGCATAACACATAAAAATCGTTCTCCTATAATATAATAAGGCGCATAACATGTCGTAGGTATATAATTTCTTACAATCTGTAATGGTAGTGGCGTGTTCGAGGAGAAGGAGGTTAGGGATTATATCTCAGCCATTGGTTTAAAAATACTACAACTATGAATGTTTAGCAATTTAAACTTGAAATTATATATTGCAGCCGAGTTATAAAGAATTGAATACAAATTGCTGTTTTTTTCATGGAACTTTTAAATTCGTATTGACGACTCAAGTATATAGAAGACGATTCTACGATTTATTCGTGATTTTATTAGTTACTACCTATATGCCCTCCCCTCCTCATAATGAAAATTCCCAGGCACGTCATTGCTTATAATATAATATTTTACCTATTTCTTGCTATATTATATGCTAATATTATTAGATCGATTTTTAGTTATGACGTATACTAGCTGTTCCAGCCCGCGTTACCCGTGCCAAACAAGTGTGTAATAAAAACGTCCACCCCCCTCCTACCCTCGAAATCCCTGTTTCAATCCCTTCATTTGATAGTGATCTGCATTTAACTGTTTTTGCCTTTAAGTTTTTAAAAACGCATTGTCTTTAATTTTCTTTTAGACTTAAACAAATTAGTTGTATGGTTACTAAGCAACGAAAAATACTTATAAATTATTATTTTGTATCCAGCCAAAACTACTGCAGATTAAGTCTACTGCTCCTATTGGTCAGATCGAGGATTTCAATGATTTTAAACCTTCTCCGCGATATACCCTGTATCATTAAAAAAAAAAAAAAAAAAAAACCGCATGGCAATTTGTTCATGAGTAGTTTCTGAAATTACCCCGGACATTGAAATGGCTTTTTGTTTTATATATGATAAATATGTATGACAGCACGGCCTGTGCCGTATTAATAATGCATCACTACTCTCCCTCGACCCAAAATTGAAAATTGAATATCTCGTCAACTGATTGACAGAAATCAAAAATATAAACACCACCATTTATTTTAACTAATACTCCATCGATTCGTGGAATTTTCAATATAGGTTTTTATTAAAAAATCAAAAGCAATTGATGGTTTTACCCCCATAAATAAGGATTAAAAAAAAAAAATAATAACATAAATGCAAAATTGTAAAGCTGCTTGTTTCTTAAATGTTAAAAGAAACAAATTCCGAAAAAAATTAATACTTTCTGAGATAATGCGTGTCTAACGATAGATCGGTCGCTCTAACAATTTAATATTTTGTGGAAATTGCACTAATAATATTAATTAACTGTAGGTGTATATATCATTACGTGTAATATAATATGGCATGTATTAGTGAAAAAAAAATAATAATTATAATTACGATAATAATACGGTAAACGAGTAAGAAGTACCTACCTATATACTATTGAAAATCGTTTACATATTTATACGTACGGTTATTTGGATATGGTGCAAAAACAACATACGCGCGCGGCATTGTGTGGTGCTTATTTACAGAAAAAAAACATCACAGACCAATATTATGTAATAAAATAACATTATGTTGTAACGTTATGCCTACAGAGTGTGACTGCGGCACATACAGAGTGGTGTCTGTCTGCCGCGTTCGATAATTTCCCATGATGCAAACGCATAGACAATATTGTCTGACACTGCAGACACAGTGTATATATTATAGGTACCTATAATTTATAATGTTATTAATAAATGATAAACACGCATAGTAACGTAATATAAAATATTATATTGTTTGATAATGTTTTATTTTATTGTACTAATACAATAATTTACTTGTATATAAATACTAACAATAAACTATACATGAAAATAAGTGTTCGGTGGATGTTTTTATAATATTATAGTTTTTACAAAGATACCAGCAGCATCTAAACACTGCAATATTATACATACGGTATATGCATTGATAATTAGGGCTGTGAACTTTCGATAATTGTTAAATAAATAGACCTCTGAAGTCCTAGACGAGAAAACCGCTCACAAAGCACATACAGTCCCTCGAATAATCAATTCGAAATACACGCGCTTAAAATTCCAAGCGATGCAAACATTTTGAAAATCTGTACTAATAAAATGAAGTGTCTAACCTCACAATTTTTTTATAAAGGTTTGAAAATGTCCATGCAGAAACGGACGAAAGGTTCCGTGCGCAGTGTGTGCGCATGGGCACCTAGAAGTCGAATTTCCGAAATTCAAAATCTGAAGGGTGGTGGACGCGGGGTTTATGACATTTTTAGAACGAAAGTCGAATTGTTTTCGTTGGTTTACGGGTTACCTCGGTAACACGGCCGGATATCGCGTAGTAAATACGTATTTTTATTATTGTTAAAACGCGTAATATATCCGTGGTTTTCACGCGAGGAGACCAAGGATGAAATAAAAAGGGAGCCATAGGTTACACAGAGAGACACGTTAAATTAAATTTCTTTTATCGATTTAGGTTAGGTTATTAAACGGTAAAAAAGCAAGGGGGAGTTGGAATTGAATTATTGGCACGGACAATGACACGTGGGACATTTATACAGCCTGAGTAAAATATTAAGAGAAAAATGAAATTTCGCTATGAAATACATAATGAACGTTTCAGATAAATGTTACACGATTCGAACTTTGCACTTACTAAGAATCTCCACATAATGTGTTATAAATGGCGGCGTGAAATTTTATTTTTTTTATCTATAAAACGGCTTTAATAGAAACTAAATTTTCCAAAAAAAAAAAAAAACCCCATACAGAATTTGTAACTAAGACTACAATTATAGACGTTCCTGTAGTTGGTCTTTTTGGTTAACATAATAATATAACCGAATGATAAAGTGCCACACATACACCAACCGCAAACACCTAATTTTTGGTCAGATAACTGACCTAACGCTTTACAGGATACCCATTCATATTATAAGCTGTCTAACAATAAGCTAAAAAAAAAAGTGAAATATTGCATTTGCTACAAATCCACAGCCCTATTAACAACAGTAATATATTATTATAGCACAGACAATAATAAAGAGTTTTATTTTTTTCTAACATCAATGTAACCCGAAAAATATATGCCCGTGACTTGACGCGAGAAGAACCGACGTCAAAAAATAAAATAAAAAACATTTTAAGTACAATTACCCGTATGGGACTTTACGTCGGGTATTTGGAAATTAATTAATTTTGTTCAGCTTCCGATACGTATTTATTTTCGACATTGGACTTTTTCGCACCAAGTCACAGACAGAACAATAATTATGTATACCATCACACATTGTAATAATATAATAAAATATAATAATTTATTACGATAACGATTAACGATATAATATTATGAATAACGTATAGTGTGGCCGGCTGTGCGTTCGCTACAATAAAAATGTAACGTTGTATTTTTTATCATTGACAACTTCCGGTTGGAATTCTGTGGTGGATAACGGTAAATTTTCGCCGAAAATAATATTGTTATCATTTTTACGACGGACGGCTTTTAACCTCCGCGAATACCGCCGGCGACGGGTTTTTCGTCGAAAACGGTATTTTATACTGCAACCAATCGGGACGTCTTAGGTCCCCGGGGGGAAAAAAGGGGCTCGAGTCGATTTCTGTGTGTACGATTCGCGATACGGTGTGTGATAAATTCGATTTCGAAACCGCGGCACACGATGATAATATTTTGAAAATACACACACACTTATCGTGCGGTTCATACCGAGCAAAACGCAAAGGGACTACGCCATTATATGGACCGGAGAGGACAAATACTAGACCGACTGGATTCGTCGGTAACTAATTGACGGGTAAAATCGACGATGCCGACTAATTAAAACGCGGGGTTATTATGTTATTTCGTAATATTCTATGCTATAGCAACGGGTTCGGTGTTAAGAGTTCGGAGATAAAAATACCCAGTTATAATCTAACCTAGGGTGACCGTACGTCCGGCTGTTTTACGAAGGGTTGTCCTTTTTTTTCAGCCATGCGTCCCGACGCCAATTATTCCGTGTTCATTTTTATTTTTGAACGAAATAAATTCGTCGACAAAACTATTTGTAACAGATCGTGACAGCGACTGCGATTGTGTATCCATGAAAAATAATAAGTATCGGTATATTATAACGCACCAAAGATGTATAATTGTTTACGGATGTATTGAGAATAGTTATAATAAATATACGCATAATTATGAAAAATTAATAAAAAAATATTACTTTGAACGTATAACTGAAATAATTGGGTTTTTTTTTTTTTTTTAAATACGGTCTACCCTAACCTAACCTGTCACCGGGCGGTAATAATTTTTTGCCGCTATCAACGTATTGCGAACCGCCGATCTTTGTGTCCGACGTAAAATGACGAAAAACAAAAACGGAAAAAAAAACTTCGAAAATCGATTCGAGTTCCCTCCTTTGCCGCCCCGATCAAAGACGTGATAAAATATTATTAGGTATTAGGTATCGTTAAAAACTAAAGAAAAAAAAAAAAAAAAAAGGGAAAAAAAAGAAGTGTATACTTATGTAATACGACGATCGAATGTTTCGGGTCTCTTGTGCGCGACGTATACGGTAACGTCGATACGTATAACGTATAGGTATTTTTATTGGGTACGTATATTAATATTTTTGCGGTTAGCGCGCGGCGGTGGTATGAATGATAATGTTATTGTATTGTTAACGGCGAAATCGCGCGGCACCGGCGACCGCTCAGAGCCGGCCGGCCGCGTTCGCCGCGAGTGCCCAGAGCGCCGCGGGAATGGCGAGCGCGGCGACCGTCGACGCGCGCGGACCCGAGCCGGCTCCGTTCTGGCCGTTCAGTCCCTGCTGGTTGGGCTCGTCGATCATGTTCGTGTAGTCCGGCTTCATGGTGGCCTGTCCGGTTCCGGCGGTCTGTCCGATTCCGGTTCCGGTGGCCTCGTTACTCTCGGTCATCTGCCACGGCTGCGTGCTGAACGATCCGCCCTGCACCGTGTTCACCCGGTTGGGCCTCTCCGCGCCCTGCACCGTGTTCACGCGGCTAGTCCTCTCGACGCCCGGCACCGTGTTCACGCGGCTGGTCCTCTCGACACCCGACAACGTGTTTACGCGGATGGTCCTGTCGTCTACGCCCGGCGTAGACGACGGCCCTCCGCCGCCGCCGTTCCAGTCGTCCCGCCGTCTCGTCGTCGCTGTAATAATATTATTGTAACGGATTACGTACGCGTCATAAACGCAGGCCCGGATTATTTCGGGGGGGGGGTAGGGGGTTCCGTCCACGTCCTCGGGGCCCGCGAAAACTATTTTATGAGTTGAATCGAATAGTCGAGACCTTGACCCGACCCTTAATCCGGGCTCGCATAAACGAACAAAAAAACAAAAAAAAACTGAAAAAGAGGGACATACGTTGCACGTGAGTGCAGCCACTGATGTTGGTGGGAAATTGGGGGGAAGGTGAGATACACGAGGGAATTTAATGTATATCTGTACGCAACAATAAACCATCGCTAACGAAAATCGATTCTGAGCGGAGTTCGGTTAATAGGGTTGTTTTGTCAACAATATATAGGTTATTTATAGGTTACGTATAGTAAAGGTATTTATTTTCCCGTTTTTTTTCCGGTTTTTCTCATTTATCGGGAAAACTCGTGGGAAAATCAAAACACGACCTCCTCTTATGTCTCCAGCAAGACTTCCATTCAGAAAAAGTGCTACGCTTGTAAACCGGAGCGATATTTCTGGAATTGTTCGCGGAAAAAAAAATAAAACAAACGTCATTGTAAAACCGTGAGCTTCTTCGCTACGCTCAGAATCTAAAATCGACAGTAGGTGTAGTAGGTACGCCACGAACAAATTATAATACCAATCAAACACGTGGGTCTTAGCTCGGCCCGGACCTACAGTTCGTTCGTTTCGGATATCGTTTTGTGTTAAACGCACACGAATATCATATCGTAACGACGGAAAAGCGATAAAAAAAAAAAAATCGTAATATATTGTCGGTGTGGCGCTGTTAATTATTAACGATGCGTGCGCATCACGTCGCCGCAATACGATGGGCAGAAAGGTTATCGCGGCTAAAGTGCGCGGCGGCGTTGATAAGTCCCCGCGCGCCCCGTGGGGTCCGACGCGCGACGGTGAGGTTACCAACGATAATATTGTATTACATACATCCGAAGGGTGTCGGCGCGCAGTGGCGTGGCGATATCGGATTTTTTTCAGAGGCGAGAATTTTATTCCGATACACACCCGGCGGCCTAACCTGCCGCTACGAATCCACGCGAACGCCGCCCCCCATTGGCTGTTACACACGGGGATTTAACACCGGGGTTTCTATAGGTTTCTCGTGAATTGCCGCCCTATAATAGTTGCACCCTTCAGAAAAAAAAAAAAAAAGAGTCAGAGGCGGTCGCCTCCCGATTACCCCCCCCCCTCCCCGTTATAGGCGTAACAAAAACAAATCGGCGCCCGGCATGGTATCGTCGAACGTAGTGCCGTTTATGATGATATTACGCCGGCATTAAAAACGACACCGAGCAATTACGTGGTTTTTGTACGCGCCGAAAACATCGTTGTATATCGGAACGTTACGCCGTTTTTATCGAATATTAGAAAACGATATTATTTGGGTACGTCATAATATTATCGGTTTTTTCCTTCTTTTTTTTTTTTTTTTTTTTTTTTATTGTCTTACAGTTTCAATATAATCGAACGTTGGGAATTAATAACACCGCCGAACGCCCCGCAGCACCGTTTAAAACGTTATTATGTTGTAATCATAAGTACACATTAATATTTATGTAAACACGATTCACAAGCCGGCAGAGAGGTTATCATCACATATTCGAACATTTCAATGTCTAAATATTTATATGTATAGATTATAATGCTATTATAAACGATGTAAACGATGTTGACAAACAAAAAACTACGTTCTCCGAAAAGCCGAACCTAAAGGTCAACATATAATCGTCTTAATGTGGATTTTAATTAAAATATTGTACATAAAAATATACTATCATGCTTTTATCTGACGTGTATTGTATACGAAACACGACCGTGTACATTATCGTTAACGATGCCGAATTCACGGCTTACGGCGTGCGCAGTAGTGGGGGGAGAGGTTAGTGTTGTATCCAGTGGTGTTCCCATTAATTTTGTCGAGAGTACCTATACTGTAACACCCAACTCTATATCTTTCTTATGGCCAATAAACGAAATAGATATCAATTATAAAAAAAACGAAATTAAAATTACTAAAACAAAACAAAACAAGACAGTTTTAAAATGCATCGTGAGAAAATTGTGAATTTTTCAGTTATAATAATTGCTGAAATAAACACAATTTATATTACTGTTTCGGTTTCAGTGACGTAAATGGTATGGACGAATTTTATTTTTTTTAATTATTTGTGATTATACGCAGTAATATACCTGTAATTTTTCAATAAAAAATATTACTAGTATACAGCGTATATGTGGTATACTCAATGGGAACACAACTACGAGTAATTGCTTAGTAATTTTATCTTAAAATTTTATATTTCAACCAATAGTTACAAGGAAAAAGTTGCTTGGTTTATTCAATACAATACATTTAGATTTTACGGACCAAGCTTTTGAATTCTCGCTGTCGGGTTTTGCAGGTATAACAGAAGAAGATTGTACCATTTATGCATACACCGCGATTATTATTTAATAAATTCTGTCCCACTGAAATTTTCCGGGCACGCCACTGGTTGAACCCATAATGAATTAACATAATATCAACCTTCATTATGATGATATGCAATGATATTTTAAATTGAAAAACCGAAAAAAAACCCTTAATACCACATGTATCGTGAGACGAACCATTTACACGCAACAGTAAATCATGATATCTTACATAATGGCCCCGGAGAAACTGAAGGATACGGACTCGGACTTGCACCGGGACCTAGAGATCCTTTTTCTTTGCTGTCCTTGTCGTCTTGCCAGCGGTTGGTAGTCATGACGTTATAATATTCATAACCAGGACATTCGTCTTGATTGGGTCTGTATATGAATAATATTATGTCTAGATTAGTGAATATCGTTTATTCGATTTTTTACTATGTGTGTTGTGTATGTGAATGTTTCATACACAGTTTTATATGCTTAGGTATTTTCTAAGTCTTTGTTGTAGATGGGCTTTTTAAAATATATTCTTAAATTATTTCAATTGTTGATTAAATATGATATGAAACAAATTAAAACATTTTAAAACAAATCGGTATCACAAACATTCGGCTATACAAAACGGATAGTAAATAAACAATAAAAAGTAAGTGAAAATGATGCCCAATTAATTAGTACGTTTGTATATGATGGCGTCAGTGGCGGCGTTAAGTTTTTTTTTTATTGATGAGGCAGTTTCAATATTTTTTAAAAAAATCGCATATAATCCAAGCCCAGAAGAATCAAGAGCTGTAAGTCTGTAAATAACGCTACTAAATGTTCCTGTAAATCACCATTTTCTATAAAATGATCTTATGATTAAGTGCCATACAGTCTCACCCACGAACCTAATTTTGCCATAAAACAGCTACTTCGTACGATACATATTTACGATACCTATTTACGCCACCACTGTAGTGTACTGGCGTTAAAACGGTTTGAAAATTGAAATAAAATCGTATTGAAACTAAAACTTATTCTTGTCATGTAAACACTTTAAAACGGTATAAAAACATCAAACTATTATAAAATTAAAACTAGGTAGTTTACGAAATTAAAACCGTATCAAACTTTTAAAGCAGTTTATCAAATGAACATAAAAACGCGGTTTTGAAATCTTATCGTTTTATCAGTTTTTGTTTGTGTGTTTCACGTACGATTTATGATCATTACGCTTCGGTTTAAAAAGTCACGTCTCGATATTTTCTTCTGGTATATTCCATCAAATACCTACTTTGAAATTAAATGGTAAAGTATGTCAAATTAAAATTTAACAAGGTAACAAAATTGAACATTAAATTGCTTTACAAGATTTTCACCAAACCGTTTTCATTTCTACGAATGTTGGGCATGTATAAACAGATATACAACGGATATTCGGCTAAACCGTTTCAATACATTTAAATACGATTTTGATTTCAAACCGTTTTGACGCCAACATGTCGTATAAACCTATTAAATGATAAGTAACAATGATCAAAATAATGATAATTTTATCGATCCAGACGTTGTTCCTTTAACCGGGTACAGCGTAATACACTTACACGTAGTCCCTACACTGGTTGCGGAAAAATCCAAACGCTTTGTCTAATAATTGTTGTGTAAAGGAATCATCTTCTTGGTTGCAAGTCCTTCGCGTTTGGTCAAGCACGCATTCCCGGAATCTGTGATGAGTGCTGCAATAAAACGTAATATTATAATATTTCAATGTGGAAATACGAACAACAAACAGAGGAAAAGTCTCCGTCGGACCGTCTGTTCGTGAAATTTATATTTTGAATGACATACTGGGTCAGTAAAGTACCATTAACAAATTTTTCATGCGGTTCGAAGCGTATCTGATTATTTGCAAATCGGTCGAAAAAGACGAAATAATTAACTCGTTTAGTCACAAAGAAGTATTGTACAATTTATGTACACACACGGGTACGTAATATGTGATTATAAAACAAGACTATTATGCAATTTTTTTTATTTTATTTTTATTACTTGATTAATAATTATTAAACATTTAAGGAGCTATTTTTTTCCTCCCGCAAGTGTGTAAGATTATTATTATAAGAATGGAAATCACAACTAAAGATGATATATTGGGACAGTGAAATGGTAAATTCCCTTCGATATATTCGACCTACTCGTAATAATAATATACAAAACACGATTATTTCATTGAACCGGGTTACTATTGGGATGATTAACGTTAATACTTACCAACAAATACTCGGTCCACTGGTTTCGTTAGATATGAAACTAGCTAATGAACGATAATGTTTTCCGCATCGCGAGTCATCGAACAGGGTGGTTCGTAAACACGAAGCATGTTTCAAATATTCTGAAAAATTAATTATTTACTCTATGTAGATTTTTCGCACATACCAATGAAATTTTAATTTTATAATTGATAATTTTTTAATACCTGTCTGGTATTGAGGCGATGTACACATTTGGTGCACTAGTTCAATGGAGTTTTCTACGGCTTTGTTGAATATTTTGCGTTTGCTCTCTTCGAAACAATGTTCGGTGTATTTCTTCGTGCAATCGACGAACAGAGTCCAAGTCCTTTTAGGAAACAAAAAATAATTTGTATGAAAACACATTTTATAGTAAAAAAAAATGTAAAAAATGCTATTTTTACCTGCATATATTATCAATGTCTTTTAGATTTCCCGGATAAATGAAATGCGGGTCTTTTACCAGTGGATCGGCCAAAGCAATACAACGATTGTACTCTTCTTTCCCACAATTTTGGGCGTAGATCATGTTGGCGGCTTCAGCTAAAAATATTAATACGATCGTTGAATAATGATCTACCGAACAACTATTTTGATAAATTCGGTAATAATAATTCCAGTGCAGTATGGAAAGTTCCTTTTAAAAAGGAATGTATCCCCATTCTTGTTGCTGAGATAACAAATAACGAGATCTCATTCTTCATGCCTTATTTCATAATGAATGCATTCCTCATTCACATTGAAATGTATTTCAACTGTCTAAAAAGAAATTAAATTCATCGAATGAATTCATATCCTGTAACCGGATTCTTTCTAAATGATGAATAATTAAAAGGTTAATTTTCCCGCCTCTAAAACCTACGACAAAATCGAAAAACTCGACGGAATATTTTCTTTTGTTTTCTACGAGCTTATAATATTATAGCAGCGGTTTTCAACCTGTGCGTCGCGGCTCCCAGGAACGTCGTGGTCTAGTATCCAAGAGAGCCGCGTCTATAGTAAGTATAGTAAAGTAATACAGTAAATTATTCGTAAGGGAGCCGCTAATTTGGATATCAAAATCAGAAGAACCGCGGATCCAAAAAGATTGAAAACCACTCTACTATAGGAATATTTATATTTGAAATTTGAACGCAGTTGCGGCTATAGATTAAACACGAAAACCTAATAACAGAATGTACCGTTTGTTTTTGGATGACCCATATTGTATATTTTCCATTTGCACAATTCGTTATTTCGTATAATATTCGATATAGAATACTTTCACTGAATGTCTGCGTTTATTGTTTCAACTCCAACCGAGTCGACCGTTACTCGCTTGACCATTCCGGCGGCTTTGAATACGGGTTAAATAAATTGATGTTTGGACGATACGCGCGCGGTTTTTTTTTTTTTTTTATTATATTAAATTACACACTGAAATAGTAATATTTCGCTGAATTAATTTAAATCGATTTTGTTTTAATTTATTGACAACGATTATCGTTTTATTGTCGCACGGCGTGTTAATATCGAATACATAATAATGATATTATTTAATATTTATCTCAATTATTCGTATTATTAAAATGACCGTGTAGTATTTTAGAGTTATTATTGTTATATTTTTTTTTTTTTTTTTTAAATTAAATATTCAGTTTCCAAGCAAAATGAACATCAGCTTTATTGATTTTATAACGCGGGGTTTTTTTTCCCAAGTCATATTATCCGCGCACACATTTTTGGTCGGAAGGAGTGTTCAAAAGTTTCGTATTATATAGCTAGCCTCGTATCGATTGGAAATTCGACACAGATGGTACTTGAAAAGGGGTCAAAATGCAAAAAAATCCCCGTTCTTTTTAAGAAAACTATATTATACGAAAATGTATAAAATGAGTATAGAAAAACAATATTTAAAAAAATATGCAATTCTAAATATTTAGAACAATATGTCGATTCATCTTTGAATTGATTCATCTATCTATAATATAATAATACTATAAATCATAATTTATAAAATTCACTAAACACACAGGTGAGATTTTAGAAAATAACAAAGCTTCGCGAATTAATGAATAATATTAACTCGATTAAGTTAACTGAGCAGTAAAACTTATTAGATGTACAGTTTGTCATTTTCTATTTGTATTCTAAATAAGGATGAATATGTTGACCATGAGAGGATTATTCCAATATCAAATTACACCTATTTGTTATAAATGCTGAACTAATACACACGTTATTTATTACTGTACGATTATGAGTTTAATATTGTGTACATTTTAAATTAAACAAATTTGAAATTAGCTTAACGTGATGTAATTCAATTTTAATGCGTTATATATTAGGTAACAGAGAAAAAAAATCAAAGGTTAAAAGTCAAGTTAAAAATTAAACCAACTATGTATTAACTTTTTAACTAGGTTTAATGCTCACTCTTGGAAAATAATAAAACTCGGCTAAATAATGACTCTTCGGAAATCTTTTTAAATAACTTAAAGTATTTTGGCCAGACGTTTTGTTAGAAAACCTTTTAGGTTTTTGCGATAGAAATTAATTTATTAGACAGTAGTACGATTATAATTTTTGTTTTCTCGTTAAAAAATGAACGTTACGACGACGTAATGAAAATATACGACCAAGAAAAAATGTTATTAATTAATTTGGCTTTCATAAATTATGATTTTATTTGTATAACTCGGGAAAAAATCGACCTATTAAAGCGAAATATTCTATTCGTTAAAAATATCGAGTTTTATTGTTTTATATTCAAAATATAATAATAATAATAATAATAATAATAAAAATGTAAAAACATGACGTACAATGGTGTATGTACGTGCCGGTTGTGCCGAATGAATTCTTTGTGCTCGTGTTGTTTAGGTTGTAAGTATAAAATATATATGAAATTGATATTAGGTTTTCCGGTTACCCTCGAAACCGTATAAGGGATTAACGACCCTTATAATATTATTGTGGAAAAATAACCTGTTTCTGCCGTTCTCGCGGGACAATTGTTCGTTTTGTGTGTGTGTGTGCGCGTGTGTGTGTGTGTGTGTATGAGAGAGAGACTTTCGTCGATTCGTTACACCCGACAAAGCGTACGTGACAGTTACAAATGATCGACGATTTATTATTGTTAAAATATGAGTGCTGCTCGTGTGCTTATAATATAAACACGCGACCTAAGGACGTTCAATTAGTATTATATGAAACGACGTTATACGTTACACAATAATCGTTTGAAATAATATATAGTACGACGTGTTGATACGAGCATAACGTTTAAGTTTTATTAGTAGGTATTAATTATTTCAATATAGAATTAATCGATTTTCTTAAAAAAAAAATTTTTTTTTAAAAAAACCCGTCGTCAAACAAAATCGTTTACCTCGAAATCGTTGAAAAATGCTAATATTTATCTACCTGTACAGAGCGGTGCGGGGGAGCGCTGGGGAACGCAGCTTTAACTATTATTTTTTTTAACGTCCACTTACCAATTATTTCTGCAGTTTGGACTTAGGGTTAATACGTATATATTTGTTTTAATAATGGGTATTTAAAAAAATAAAACACAATATTTCGTCGACTCTGATCTGTTCAATATTGTAAATATTGTGTTTTTCATTTTAATATTATGTACTAGTATTAACGTGTGCATGCACATAATAAGTAAATATGTAAGTCGTAATCTACAAGAGTATTATTAACGGTGTTATACATTTTTTTTTTTTCATTTGTAAATTACCTATTATTGAATTTGTTTTGTAAAATGTTGTTGGGGGGTGTGGGAGACGAAACAGCCCATGGGTTCGGTCGGGTTCAATAATCGCGAAGGATGCTAATTTTGTTTAAGTCTCGCGCAGTCCCTGTTCTTTTATTTTTCCAATTCGCTGCCCGTTATAATAATATTTTTCGAAAAACTTTAGTTCATTAAAACGGAAACTTATTCCAGAGTATATAATATATTGGTACCTACTTAATTGAAATTATTATCACGATGTCATAACTTGTGTGTTACCAAAACTTCGTCGTTATGACATAATTGATATACTGTATAGTTAAATTGGAGTACAGAATGGACCAAATAACTAATGTAAACATTATAAGTATAGTCAGTTATCGACAAATACACAGTATAACGAACGGTAAATTTGACCATACATTGATTGAGGTAATTTCGATTTGAACAAATTTTTTCGACGGTATGTTATTCGGTTTCATTTTATTTTAATAATTATTGTTGTTCTGTTTATTTGTGCTACCAGGTTACCTATTCATTTCGTCGAATTTATAATTCCGAATTTTCATATTGACGTCTAACTAAATAGTTATTTAGTTGATTCTTAATGTTGACGTCTATTATACGTATGTCGCACTTTGTAGTTGTTTGATACGTACAATAAAATTTATAATAACGCTTTGTTCGAAAGAGATAAAACAAATTGATGATAAATCTCAATACATATTTCGTATCTATCGTCTTTTAGGTCGTTTTTAAAAATTACTTACGATTCTATGACATATAAAATCGAAAATATCGATTACGATAATTTGGTGAACTAATTTTAAGGTTTAGTATTTTTTTTAGTAAAGTAGGTTGAAAGCACCGACGTATTATAATCGTTTATACTGACTATTGTCAAGTATTGTTGGTATTATTTTTCTGCATACCGGTCTATAAAATATACCTATTCGAATAAAAATAATTTACACCACGATATTATGTTAAATATTTATCCATATAATAACGTAAAACAGACACTGCATCGTATCCAGCAAATATAATATAGGTATCGTATACAATATGTATGTGTATATATTGTCATACAGTTTTAAAATAAAACCTATCTCGGTTCGGTTTTAGTTCACAATATTACGGTGCGAACGTAAAATTAGAGAAATGAGTTTGAGAGTAAAATGATTAATTCAATATTTACTACTATACATATTAGATGCTAGATTATAACGTTACGTTAGCTAGGTTACGAAGGTAATAATAAAAGGGTTAACTGTCTGGGTGACTCACTCGTTTGTTCAAAATCAACACAACAAGAAATAAAATATTCCTCGGAACATTAATAATATCGTGCAATAAATTCGCATGTATGTTAAAGAAAAATGGTAATAATTTAATCGAACGTGTATTGTCTGTTTACATTTCGTGATATTATACTTATGTATAAGATGATGGTTATACTTCTGTATAACTTTATTGAAATAACGGTAATGTATAGGCATTTCGTATTTGTCAATCGATTTTGTAAGTAACTTTAAAAGGGAAGTAAATATTTCGTTTTACGTATAGGTATACATTTTTACATTTTTTTTTTTTTTTTTTTTTTTTAACGAATCTTTAATTTATGTATCTGTATATTATTGCTTTTACCTGCACAATATTATACTATGTATTTCTAGTAGTCCAAAAATATCACGGTACTTCGAATATTCGAATAAAACGCGTACAAAATATCGTCTATCGCATTGTAGTAAAATCACCTTTGGTCGGAAATATAATATAATAATAATCTATATTAAATATTTGCTAAAATGTATATAAGTTTACTATTTTTTTTTTTTTGTTTTAGAAAGCATTGCGTCATTGGCGTTTAACCTATCAAGAAAGTAATTTGTTGAAAATAAAATAAAACGCGAGTAATGTGTTTACCGCCGAGACACCGAGTTCGAAGGGGAGAAAGGGGTGCAGAACTATATACCTAACTCGGGAATCAACGATTTTCATTTATACTTGCACGCAATGGTCAATTTGACCTATTTTGTGGACCTTTGACTCAACAGCGTTTTATTATACTGACTTGAAAAATCATATATATACATAAGTAGGTATATTATTACGGTAGGTAATATAAACTAAAGACATCGGTTTGCCAAAGGCCATACTTGTTATTAGGAACAGCGAGGCCATCATGATTACGGTGTAGGATCGCCTCATTGTGGCGAGTTTTGATGAAAAGTACCCTGGAAAAAAAAAATAGAAAATTAGATATACCAAATCATAATAATAATACAACGTTAATAAAATATAATCATAAAAATGACCTTGGACAGTTTTTTTACTTGCAAATATATTACAGGAATATGATAAAAATCTCGATACGATTTAAAGTCGTTGGTAGAATATTTCAATCATTCTGCAGATTATCTTAATAATATTATTCGTGTTGTGATGGTTATTTTCGTTTTAGAGCGAATTTCGTTTTAGTTATTATTAGTTTTCCAGTCCAATTTCAGATATAATATTATATATTCCATACTAAACAATAATTTACCGCCTGAAGGACTATAATGGATGTAACGGGCCTGACCCAATAATGATATGTTGAACCCAGTGGGGCATTTAGGAGGGAGCCAGAGGGGCAATCGGGACGAGTAGCGAAATTTCCAAAGCGGTCAAATCTAAATGATTTTAGGCGGCAATTTTTAGAAGAAAGGAGTAAGTAGCAAGGATGGGACAAGAAAAATGAATAAATGCTCGTTTAAGTGTGGATGTTTCGGACCCGTGTAAATAAGGAGGGAGAGATTTTTTTTTGCCCTGGGCGTAAAAATCCTATAGACGCACCACTGAATGTCAACACAATAATACCAATATAAGGGAAATGTTAAATCGGAAACTATAGGGTCAAACTCGTCACTTTACCCCTCGAACCGTATAATGTACAGGTTTTAAATATTTTGATTACTCAACAATTGTAATTCATAATGTTTAAATGGAAAATTCTGAAATCGTTATAAGAATTCGCGGATACCGTTTTAAACAAAAGTATTGTACACCCGTGCAAATAATCAGTTGGTCGATTTTGTCGGCGGTCAAAGAACAGTGAACTGTTGACCCGGCGCTATAGTATAGGGGAAAAGTCTAAGTACAGTTAGGTACGCATGTCCACTACGGAAAAACGAACAGGTATATTAATGTGCACATTATGTTCAGATATTATCGTAACCTTGACTAAATGTTTTTAAGTAATGACGATACTAATTATTATATTCGTAATCGTCGTGTATACCAAAGTTAATTTTATTCTTTATTACTGAGAAAAGTTTTTTAATCTATACAATTATACACGAATATAAAAATGTTGAAAAGTAAAAAAAAAAAAAAAAACGTATTGTTGTTTTACACCAAAACGCTGCGTAATCAACAAAAGTCGCATACAAATATTGAATTTTTTTGAAATAACCTTTCGTTTATATTTCAACCATAATATTTGTAATAAGTGTTTATACTATAGTATACTCATGATAGCTAGGCTATGGAGTGAACTGATAAAAAAAATATCCGTTCGTTATTGATGATTTTCATATATTATTATTAATATGTTGAGTTTTCTAAATATTTGTGTAACGTCAACACAATATTGTAAATAGTAAACACCTATACTTAAGATGACGTCACACTCGCGTACGTATAATATACTGTCTCCATCTATCCCGCAACGGTCAACCTAACGTATATTATGACGTCACGCAGCACTTGAATTTCGCGGCGTTTAGGATTTATAGGGTAGGTATTAAATACTCGTTGACAAATTTATACGAAGAGAATACTGTTGAGGGCGTCTCATAGCCTTTTAAGTAAACTATTGTAAACTAATTTTTAAATATTCCTGCTTACATAATATTATTATAGAAATGGGACGACTAAAATAAGGTGCTCGTCAATATTTGTCTAATCACTGAGGTATTAGTTTTAAATTTTACTAGAATAACATTTTGTGTGGAGTAAACAAATTATAATGGAATATTTATATCGCTGACGTTATCCAGACTACAATATAACATTATTATAGTGCATGGTGGGTGTGTGTAAAGTCGACAAATCCCTAGATAACCTTCTTTGTCACAAATACAAATATTATCAGTAAAATATTAAAACAAGCGTATAATTTTGCAGTTAAGTGGTACAGGAAATATTATTACCATACGAGTTGTGAATTGAATGCGCTATAAAACCTAAACAAAAATTGTATTTAAAATTCCTAAAAATGTAGTATAAAATGTAATTCAAATATCAAAAAATACTAAAATACTAAACACCTCAATAATCTAATCGTTTACAGATACCCGATACTTATTTTGAAAATTCCACTGCTGATATTTCGCAATTAATAACTACGATTAACCTCATTATCGTGACAAGTCAAACACTGTATACATTCATATTTACTCGTATAAAGCTTGTGTAAAATATGTGTTAAACAAAAACAAGGATATGAAATTTAAATACGGCCTGTGTAAATTAAAAATTATGTACAATTCATGTAAAAATGGATGAAAAAAGCGTAAAATCGAAATGTCTTCAGAAGGTAACAAAAATCACCTATACAGTAAATTTAAAACATCAAAAAACACAAAATAAAAGTTTCGTAGATACGTGATTTAATTCTTGTATTAAGAAAGCTCCACGTTTTACAATCAGCTACAAAAAAAAAATGCACTTTTACAAATTCACAGTCCTAAATATTAATGAAAGATAATTTTTGTTTATTGCGATCGGAATATATATTTCAATTTCAAATTCTCAACTCACACTTCCAGTGCTCATAATCACCTATATATAACTAGATATCACTTATAGTCACTATACTATAGGTAGGTATTGTTTTGTAACAATCCGTTGATTTGTTCAATGATGTAATATTCCTCCGCTCCTCCCTATTCATAGCAACTTCCTTTAATTCTTTTTCGGATACTTCTCCTACGTATCTAACATATAATTTGTATCAAATATTATGACCGTGTCTTCCTCTTCCTGCAGGTTTCCCTTCGATTTTCCCTTCAACTATATAGATGTCTCCCGTGTATTATTCGCAATAAGACGTCCTATCCGTTAATTTTTTCTCTCCCCGATTGCCGTCCATATCGATTTCTTTTCGTTAATTCTTATATACGATATACTCTTTCTTCATTCGACATCGATCGTTTTGGCCAGGAATTTTATTGTGTGTATGTTTTTGCCGTAGTAATAAACGCGTATTATAATACGTAAACCGTATAAAATATATTGAAATTAACAAACAAAACAAAAAATACCTATACCACTACAGTTTTGAGTTGCAAGCGAATTCGCACGTTTTATAAGGGGGCCCCTAATCGCGAAATGGGAGTTGTAATATATTCGCGTGAAATACACAGCATATTTGGTTCGATGATCGTTGTAATATTATTATGTTGTATGGTTACATCCGAGATATACGAGCAATACGTACGTTATATACGTATAGTTATTGTGATCTGTGAACAAACTGAAAAAAAAAAAAAAAAAATGTTTGTTATTCCGCACCGAACGGGATATACGGTTCACTGCTTGCGCAGACGCCTTATTTACATTTTTTATTTATTTCGACTGCACCGAAAACAAAACACAACGGCGCACACGGTAATTTAATGTTTGACGAATATACACGAAAATCGCAATTACTCAAAATCGTTGTAAACAAACCTTTGATAACGCGTTATCGCGCTGCACTTTTTTTTTTTTCTCGACAATAAATGACCATAACGTTCGTCGTGTTGCGGCCATTTGAGGATACGAATAAATCGTACGATGTCGAGTATACCCGTATTATATTTGCGTCGCGACCTCAAAATATGACGATCGAACGTTTTCAGAATAAAAAAAAAAAAAAAATTATCGCGTGTGTCCGGTAATACAGTATAGAAAAAAAAAAAAAAAAATAAATAAATAAGGACCTTGATCACATGTGTAAACCTATAATTGTGCATCTGCATGCATATTATTGTGTGTTATTTTAACCGGCGAACGAAAATTCCCCATTGTTTCTCGTTTGTCGTTTGTATTAATATCATTACAATAAGGGCAACGTGTCCATATAACACGTCCGAAGGACGGATTTCAAGTTTATCGAAAATCGTTGGTCGTTTTAATGTGAATCGTCGGAAATTCGAAACGCAATATAAATCGTCACTGTACAGCTGGCGTATATCTATCATTTAATTTTTTCTATTTTTTGACACAATAACGATAATATATTGTTCGAAATCAATGCGGGGTATGTAAAGTGGAAAAATAAACCCCCATGACGCAATATTACAACGAGTCGAAACACGCCAGAGCTCGCGCTAACGGCGCGTGTAGTTCTAACCAATGTGGGTAGTTCTAATCTAAAATGGGCAAGTCTGGGAACCAATTTGGTCAGCATCCAAAAACCGTGAATATTACGAATTGTTCAATAACTGTCGCCCGTTCTTGTCGCTATATTCATTATTGCCATATTCAATATTATATATATATTTTTTTCAGTTTCGTTTTACACATCACAAATGTTGTCAATCATTAATCCATATCCCATAACATTTATCATCATCTAATTGGATATTATTATAATTTATAGGTATTATACAACAACATGTAGGAATGTACAATGTCTTTATTCGTATACTGTGGTTCTACTATCCTCGGTAATATGCATCAGAGATATTCATAGTTTAATTTGCCCAGACATAGATTTACAAAGAATTATTAATAATGGAATATGATCAATTGATATCAATCGAAAATATATCTGAATTACGAAAAATGAACCTTATTAAAGTAGTGAAAACATTATGTGCCTCAAAATATTTCCCAAGTCGTGTTTGTACAGTGTTGGCGAGAGTGGCAGCTGCTAAACCTCACAGTGCCGATGTTGAACGTTTGAAAAGTGCTAGCAACTAATTGAAACTACCGTTACGTTCAACTATGAATGACGAGACAGAAATCTCAACTATTATATAAATAATGATATGTCACCATCGTATGGTCGGGATCCTAGGAACGAAATTCACCATTGGATATGCAAAAAGAAACATCGATGCTTTTTTTGAAGCCTTTTGTAAACACAAAATAATCGAGAGTGAAAACAGCGGCGAAGAAACTGAAGAAAAAGAATTTATTTTAATCTGTTACCAATGTGATATTAATATAAGAAAAAAATAAAGTATTGTATACAACAGTTACATATAGGATATAGAATGCGATTAATTTATAGTTAGATAAGTAGCGGTTGTTAAGCGAGCGGCAGATTTTTTTGCCCCTTTAACCATCGACTGTATCACTATAGGACTGCGAATGCGAAAATGTCCAAGTTTAAAGAACGAGAACGATTTTTAGGAAAACAACTAAAAGGTAATGCATATCAAAGTGTTGATTTTCGGGTGAAGAGAGAAATCTTAAAATTTAAACACCGCCGATTGGCAAGCAACGAAGAACGAGAAGAGTGAACTGTATAATACACACCTAGAAGCCTGCACCGTGAATATCGAATAAAACAAATTTACGTGGAAAGTATACTACTTGTGAAAAATATGGGTCAAGAAATGAATGATAAATGAATAAATACATATTTAATTGTTTTCCTATTCTTTTCTAGTCGATACACGACACGGAACGAGGTAGTTTGTTAGGTTAGGTATATTATAATAACAATTATTATAGAATTCAATTCGAACGGTTTTGTACAGTTTCTTTCAGCGGGTCAATAATATTATAATATACCCAGGGTAGGTCGGATGGATTAAATTTTTATGAACCCGGTACCTTGAATATTTCTATATGCGCACCGTAAAAGTCAATGTGAGTATAAGTCTTTTTTAAAACGCGTGATTACACGAGATTTTGTAAAAAAAAAAAATAATTCACTTGTTTAGTTGACACATTCAATTTTAAACTCGACTTAAATAGGTACAATTTAAATTGTATACAGTCAATACCCAGTTTTATATTTAATTATTATTATAATCGAACGGCAATTCATTTGAGACATTTCCGTTTCTAAACAATATCAAAAGTCGATTTGGTTGCCTAGTTGACGACGAAAATCTGAACTAGCCGTCGAGATATAAATTTAATGTTTTAAATATGCCTATACTCATATGATTAACAATACAAATATCTCGCGTATATCTAAATCGATTAAAATCACAGTAACGTTTATTTTTTTCTCTAAAATATTATTTCGTTTAATTATGTATGCCAATCGAAACGGTGGCTGCAAAATAACTTTCCGTGTCTTCGAAATCAATTTATATCTGTTTATGACTTTCCATTCGTATACAAAAGTATACTATAGATAAAAGTAAAAAATAAGGCAGGCACTTACAGTATTTTAGTGAAAGCACTTAGCGACAATATTTAGCATATCCATAATATCAAGAATAATTAAGTAATAAAGCAAGGACAATAAAGTCGAAGCGATTTTTAAAGGCGAAATATTTTATTATTTAGTGACCCGCAGTTTTTCTACCGCGCATAATTAGACGTTATTATATATCAGGGGTCACCGATTGGCGAACCTTTTTTTTCACCGACCCTTATCCGCAGAGTAGTTTTTAAATATATGTTTGTAAAGTCACTTTCTTCAATATGAACTTTATCAAAAACAATTTCAAATCTCGGTTAACAGATGATCATCTTAACGAGTTAATGCAAATCAGTTGCACCAACTTCACACTGAACATTCCTGAGCTTATGAAAACTAAAAAATGTAATTTTTCCCATTACAAATGAAAAGTTTTTTTGTATAATCGTTTTAAATCTTTTTTTTTTTGTTATAATAATAATAATAATAATAATAATAAAAATAAATTAATAAATTAATACAAATACAAGTTTAAATAAAAATGTATTAATATTAACGTGTCTAAAAGTCATTAAAACTGTTTGGGACCGCAGAAAATTCGGTAAGTTTCAAAACGGACCTTCATAGAAATTAATTGATGACTCCTGTTGTATACTATGTTATTAACTTTTTGGAGTTATAATATTTTCATTTTAACGTCAACAAAAATTGCGTATGAAAAATCGTTTCGACTATCTGCGCGTAAAGAAAGTAGACAAACATAAATAAATAAAGGTATCCTATACGATAAAAGTGAAAAAAACTTTTAAATATAAAAAAGCCGTTTTTAAATTTATGCGCGTTTTAATACTTTTATAACTTTATAACTTTATACATTTATTTACATTTAACCACACCGGAATGGAAACCCAAAGAAAAATATTCTGTACATTAAAAACTAACCACCGAAACCATAAATGTGAAAAAGTGCCTAGTTCGGTAAGAAGAAGAAATTGTTCAGCTTTGCCGTAAACGGACATACTTCGTACGATGGTTAGACCACTGTTGTAGATGAGAAGTTGGGACGTTGGGATATAGATAGAAATTTAATGTCTATCCGTAAGCAAGAATTAATCATTACTAACGAAAAACGATTTTGAATAAGTTCGGCTAGTATTGTTCTTTCAACAATATACATGTCATATCACAGTAAAATAAATATTATATTGAATCAATTTGTATGGATCAGTACCCAGGTTTGTTCGACATAATTTTTTGCTAAAACAATTTTCGTCAAAATTTGATATGCAAATTCTTATAAAAAAAAAAATATACTATATCGAATTAAATTATTTTTGTTTTGACCGCAAAGTGCGACTTATAATAAACCCCCGGTTCAATTTTCAAGCATTTATGTTTTGTCTAACAATTTTATCTGCAGAGTACCCAACAAAAAAAAATTACTCACAAAATTAAAGTGTCTATAAATAGCTTAAATATGTTTTTTACAGTTTTACCACGTACAAATAGGCAAGTTTTGGCATGTTGGCATAAGTTTTATGCCAACATTTCACATATCTCAGAATATTTTTAACTGAATTATAACAAATAACACAATTGAAAATGATAAAAAAAAAAAAAAACATTATTTTAGTAAGTTTCCCGTTTTTCTTACGTTTTCTCCCCGTTTTTTCCCAGATGTTGCGAAAACCGCTGGGAAAATCAAAAAAATTGACTTCCCAAAGTATCACCTAGTCCCGGACACGGCCGGCCCCAAACACGGTTTCGGGAAACGTTCGTCGGACGCCCGGCGCAGACTTTTACGCGGTCCCTACCGACAAAACGCCCGAACGGTCGATCGTAATAGCACACGAATAGTCTGTTCCCGCGAGAGACCCGCCGGCGGGCATTCTGTCCTTACCGGGAGACTCGCGCGGGTTTCGCGCGTGGTGCAAGACGCGTACGGTACGAGTTTGCGAGAAAAGTGCGGTCCTCTGCGTGCCGCGGCGGCCGAAACGCGAACCACCCCGGAGGCGACAACCCGACCTGTACAAGTGTAATTTATGGCCGGCTTTCCGCCCGTGGCCACCGATATCCTGCACCCACCCGGCCGTTGCGTTCGCGCGAAACTACCGGTAAACGGGCGACCGGCACCGCGTATCGTTGTGTCGCCGCGCTGTATAGTGCACCCGACGACCCCGCAATTATACCGTACACCCGTGGACAATAAAACGAAAATACTCGAAATCGGGAGGCGACGGCTTCTCGTCCGTTTCGGCCTCCGGGCCTCCGGGCGTGGGTCCCGGGCATACGCGCGCGCGAAACCACAATAACGTATAGTGCCGGGGTAATATTGTCCGATGTGCTCGGGGTTATTTTTAACCCCCTTCGGCGCTGTTATACTTACGGCTTTCGTTTTTCACTCGGCGTTTTACAATGCCCGGACGGGTTTGAAACCGCGAACCTCTCCGCGAGCAGCGAATATTATCGTAAAATGTTGTCGTGTTGTTCGTGTAACACGACGGCGCGCATTTGTTACTATTGTCAATGCGACGGTGTGACGTGCGTGACGAGCGTAAACGTGCGCGGATCGCGCGGGCACCAGACTGAGACTGAACCGGGCCGGAGCGTCCGCGACAGGATACGGCGCGGTGAAACCGTAGGCACTCGACACGGTGACGGTGGCGGCGGCGGCAGGATATACGGACAGATTTTTCGCCGATTGGTCCGATCCGCCACGGTCGACCGCAACCGCACTGCCAGACAACCGCAACCACAACAAATACCGGCACGCATGCGTCGTCGTCCCTGTGCTGCCGGCGCCTCTGTAGCTAGGTGTATAATAATATTTTACGTCATGCGACGGTGTGTGTTTTTTTTTTTTTTTTTTTTTAATTCGTGCGTACACAATTATTTATTACAATGTACGCGTTGTACATAGCCGCCGTCCGCGACAAAGGGTCAACGAAACGTCCCGGTTTCAAATACATACGTATTTCATATAGCCGGTCGTAATCGCGCCGTCGGCGGCGGCGGCCGTGGTGCCAATGCACTCGCCAGTGCCAACCCGCGTATGTCGACGTGACGTCCCGCCGACACCACCGCCGCCCCGGGTGCTACAGAATATATTAAAATATTATCGTTGCACGCGACCGTCCGGCACCGGGCCCGGCGAAAATCTTAAAACGCGTTTTCGAAATCCGAAAACGATAACGCGGTCGTTAACGCCGATTAGGAAAGCCGATTACGCGAGCGTGCGATTTCGTGCGGGTGTGTTCAGAAGTTTACTAGGTTTTTTTTACAGAAACGACAAAAGAATTTCGGACGGCGGAAATTCGATGAATTTGACAATTTATTTCAATACAATCGCGGTAGGGCAGGGGTATTTTTGGGTTGGGGTGGATGGATGGGCGAGCCGACGATTTTTTCCGTGATTCAAGGTGAATATACTTCAAGCCGCCACTGGCGATATCGTTTACCAACCCCCGCCGAGCGATGGCGTTCACGAGAGGTCAAAAAGTAAATTAATGGCGGGTGGCGTGTGAAAATAACGTCAAGTGGCCAAACGGTGAAAAATGAACTATTCAAACGAGAACAAAAATCTCTATTTTTCGTGTTGGATACGTCGAGCCCATTCGTCCAATATCGATAATGCGTATTTCGATGCGTGTTGTGGAATACGTTTTAAATTATGTCGTATGCTGCCAGCGACTTCAACCGTAACGCGCCTTTTCAAATACTAACCGCACAAACGCATAAGAAAAGTTTAATGAGCTTAATCCGTATGGCGTGTTTCCTTAACCCGGTGTTAATTGAGTTAGGTCACCGAACAGTTATTTGAATCAATGTGTAAAATAAGTCAAGTCCACAGGCGTACGCACGATTTTTTCGCAGGATGTGCCATAAAGAAAATGGGCCGTTGTAACTTAAGAGTACCTTATGGGATATATCACCCCCCCCTCCCCACCGATTAAAGTACTTAGAACCCGAGACAAGTGATAAGTAATATTATCATAGTACTTATAAACGGTTGCCGGTTGGTTTGATTTATTGGTTACTTAATGACAATAATTTTCCATACAATTCGTAGGTCAACATTTAATATAGTAAAGCTCAGAATGAGTAAATTTCGTTTTCAGTGTCACGGCAAACCAGGCGCGCCCTGTGCGCACGCCTATGGCCAAGCCAATTTTTATTATATTCGATATTTTAAAATTATCGATAAAAAAAACCTGCCGATGTTGAACGTTAAAACATAAAAGCGTATACACGGCCGAAGTACAATGTATACGGAGCCGATCGATACTTCACAATTAAAAACAATCCTGATTACAATCCCAATATTGAAACCGAGCGAACATGGGCGGAAATTATAAAATAATATCTTCGAAAATAAAACACACAGGCAGTGCCTGATTAACCAATAGGCCGAAAAAGCTGTAGCCTATGGTGCCGTTAAATGGGTGAGTGGCAAAAAAACAATTTTTTTTCAAATTTAAATTTGTATCTCTGTATATCAGTGACAATAAGTTTCTCGTAGTAAATTTTCGGGCCTAGGACACCTCGCAGCCTTTGACTTGTCACCGAACATCTCGACGCCACAACCTAGCAATTTTAGTACTTAACCCGGGAGGGGTAAATTTACACAACTAACACAGCCAAGTCCACCTAAACTACACCAAGCTCACCAATATTTTAGAAGTTATGTGCCTCTAGGTGGGGAAACTCTCAATATAGTCAATATCCTTTAAATATGACTACTGCGGTACGCAATGTGTAAAGCAAAGCTGTAATCTGCAGCTTTTAAAATAATTTTAGTAGACATATTTATAACCAATACCTTTATCTATCTTAGAGGAGAAGGAGGTGAGGGTTGAAAAGTGTGCCCAGCCTCCGTCCGCCTTTTCTCCCCCCTCAAAAAATGAAATTTTTTAAACGTTATTTAACGAAGATGAATTAATCGATTACACAATCCATAAAAGAACGTTTTGAAAAAGAAAATAATAATGTTTTTTCATTACAATATCTTCACCATCAAATTTTAAACAATTCGAAAAAAAAAATATTCTTCGAGAACGTTAAAAAAGTTTACGATTTCTATAAAATTGATAATTTACAAGCTGAAAGCAGAAAGTTGGTACAATTTTTGGTAAAATCGAGATTACCAAGACATTAATTTTATTCATTTCTTAAATAGTAACTGTACACTTTTCCCAAGAATAGCAATTGCGTTGGAAATATTTATGTCCCTATCAGCTACGAGTTGTACAGCAGAACGTTCTTTTAGTACTTTAAGACGTGTTAAAACATGGCTTTGATCAACGATGGATGAACATAGACTGAGTGGGCTATGCATGTTAAGTGTTCATCGCAAACAAGTAAATTCAGAGAAAAACTAATTAATTGAAAAAGCATCAACAAAATTTGGTAGAAAATGTCCACGTAGATTACAATTTGTATTTAACGAAAAATAATAAATTTAAGTAAAAATACGTATAGAAATTATGATGAATTAAAGTAAAAAATGTATTTTATAAAACAAAATCGTCATTTATTTTTTAAATAATGTTCGCCCCCCCCCTGGAAAAAAGCATGCGGACGCCCATGATTAGTATTATAAAAACTTTTTTAAACAACAAAATAATATTATGTTAATTATGATAAAATAATATCATAATTTTCACATTTTGATGCTCACATAGCTACATAATATATTATAATAACTATTATTACTTATGTACACTTACTGATTCATATTTTTCGGAGTCCCCCATGAAAAGTCCTTTTTTGTATTGTAACCTATTTAAATTATGAAAAAATATTTAAAATAAAAGTAGCTAAAAAAATAATTTATAAAAGCAAAACAACACTTACTACACCAGACAAAGCATTATAACCACTCTTGTATCATGATCTTTTAGACCAGGCACCGTCTGCTATCACAGTTATAAGTGGTATCCCGTTTTCATTTATATTTCCTTCTTTCTTAGCAATGTCTGCCTCCTCTTTACCAGCTTCTATCGTCGCTTCGATAGCCGTTACTTTTGTATGTTTTAACAAATCTAAGTGGAATTGTTGATATGCATTGTTGGACATACTTCGCATATTTAAAACACCTGCCAGAGTATCTAACTGTGTAAACCCTTGCCTTGTGTTTACAGGTGCTATTTCAAGAGCGGTATTCACGGATAAAACAGTTATCGATTTTTAAAATTCATTAGATTAGATTTCTTGTCATTTTTCGATTGGAGTAAGATTTCTGGTAGAAAACATCGTTTTACACAATACATGCACAAATCATGCACCTCTATAGACATGTTTTACATATTAGCATGTATTACACGTGTGTAGGGCAAACAATTTAAGACCCTAGTATGTCTGGTGGAAAAGTTGTTTACGAACAGAAAAAAAAACAAACATTTATCATAGTAAAACCAAAACATTCCTCGCTATGCTCAGAATCTAAAATTGGTTCAGTAATTTCTGGTACATTATTTGTTTCGATATGAATATTCGGTGATAATTGAATATCATCAGGCCGGACGATTTGAGAATTATCCGCAATAGTCTACAATTAATTTTCATACTGAAAATGTATTATAAATGATGCGTGTAATAATATAGGTTTGATGTATACATTGTATATTCGACTGGCATAGGTTATAATTACTTGCTCAGAATTATAACTGTTTTTAATTTTTTCTAAATGAAAATTTCGGGATCATTTATTCTAGGTTCTGAGTGGAGCGAAGAAGCTTATAGTTTTACAAAGACGTTTATTTTTTGTTTTATTTTTTTTATCTGTACTTTTCTACCGGAAGATTTGCTCGAAAGGAAATCGTTGTAGTGAGGTACTTTAGAGAGATCATTTTTAAATTTTCTCATCAAATTTCATAAACCGAAAAAAACGGAGGAAAACGGGAAAATATAAGAAATGTCGGTATGTAGGTATTAGTTAAAATAATGTATTACGGCCTTATTTTTTCTGCGCACAACTTTTATACCGGCAATTTTGCTTCAATTTATAATGATGGCAATTTTTCTAAAAGGAAATTTCACTAGGGAGGTGGTACTTCAGAGGGGTGATTTTCAATAAAAATTAAAAATGATAATAACGGTTGTGAGTGCCGCGATATGAGAGCCAGAGCCCTATCGACGGGCCGGTCTCAGTTTTACAATAAATATTTTACAGACGAATATTATTACGAAATACTACAACAATAACAATTAATAATAGCAAAATATCTAATAATAACATCCTTATCTGCATTTAGCGAGTGTCGTGTCGACGACGACAATACGACGGGGACGACGGGGCTTGATGCGCGGGAGATCTGCACGGACGCGTCGGCGCCATGTCCGTTCGTGCCCCGAGTACCGACGCACTAGTGATCGGCACTGCCGTCCATTTACCCGGCCGTTTTTGAAAAACCGTCGACAACCGTCCGTTCGGTGGAAAAATTACTCGGTCGTTTTTCGAACGGGCCGACAGCCGATATCGGTCGGCGCTACTACCGGACGAAAACTGTCGGCTAATCCATTCGACAGTTTTCAAAACCAATCGGTTCGGTCGATCAATCGCTCGGCCGTTTTTTCAACTATCGATTGTCGAAACTATAGTCGATCCGCGCGTCGCTGCAGCACCGCACCGCCGCTGGGTACCACGCTATGGCCGTGTCGGCGGTGGGAACGGAGAACGAAACGGTCAATTGTGCGCGCGCGCGACCGGTGCAAAAATCGCGTTAATCGCACGTTATCATTATTCGGGGAACGACAACAATGCGTTTCGGCAGTGTCGGCCGCGGCCGAACTCGTTTTCTCGCCGCCCCCTCCGGTCCGCGCCCGTTTTCACGCCGCGGCGGCGACCGGCGGATCTCCGCGGCGTTTCCCTGGCGGGTCCCATTACTTTGGCTCGGCACCGCGGAACGCTCCGCCGCTGTTGCGCACCGGCCGTCTTGCTTTTGTCAGTTCGGTTTTCTGCAGTGCCGTTTATTTCTCTGTACGATAACGACGTTTGTGCGGACACGGGCGTCTCGGCGGTGAAACTGTCGTTTGGTCGCCGGCTCGCCGAACCAGGTAAGTGGCCAAATACGCGTGCGTCTCGATTATACTCGAGGTGTTCGCCTACCAGTACCACGGGCCGGGCGCGCGCGGTTTTCTAATTTTTTCGTCGCCATTGTGCGTTTGGGCGACCGACCTCGCGACGTTCGTGTTCCCGTGTCTTTCGATACGTACGCCGTCGAGACGTTTTGTCGGTGCGATTCGGTGCGCGTAATTGTCCGCGGCCCGTCAACGAACGGCTAGCCCGGCCCCTCCCCCGGTCGGCGATCCCGAAGCGGTCCCGCGAAACCGGCGCGAGGTTGCCTGCGACGGTGTACCCGAACGATGGTATATCCGTACGGGTCGTCNTACACACAATAGTGTAAATCCAATCGAATGGCTGGAGAAAAAGCATTCCGGCCGGTGCGCGCGTTATTTTTCCCTCTGTATTTGCGTGATCGCCCTCTGCGGTAGCATTTCCGTATCTTCCGACGCGTTTACGTCGCCCGACGTTTTGCCGGTGCGACACTTGCGCGCGTAATCGTCCGCGGCCCGTCAACGAACGCTGGCCCGGCCCCTCCCCCGGTCGGGTAAGCCCAAAGCGGTCCCGCGAAACCGGCGTGAGGTTGCTGCTGCTGCCCGTGATGTACCTGTGCGGTACATGATGTTCGTTTTCGAAGACACCGGCCAATATTGATTAACAGTTTTTCCTCAGATATTTCATTATCAGCCACTCTAGAGCAGTGTCTCTAACCTTTTTGATATCACGGAACACCAAACAATAATAATTTTTTTCATGCGGAACCCCCTTTGATAATAATTATCTTTAAAAAATAACGGTACACAACACATGGCGCTAAAACACTAAATACAGCAAAATGTAATTAAATTATTTATTCAGAATTTAGATTATATTTAGGTTAGATTAGATTTACATTAGATTGTAATAACAGGAAAAAATAATAAAATAAGTGCATGAATCTTAATGGGATGGTTGAGCTTGAATGTTGACTGCATATATTATCAATATCTAGAGTAAGGTTTGTTAATGAAAGTCTTAGTGTCTGCGTCAAATTCAACATATTTCGATATTTAGTCTTGGTTGCAGTGACTGCCGAGAATTCAATTTCACTTATATACATTGAAGGAAAAGGAATTAAACTGTCAATGCCTTTTCACTTAACACCTCATATTCGCTGTGAACTTTTATCCAAAATGTATTTAGTGATTAATTTTTTTTTTAAGTTTTTCAACGTGACGTCTGAGGTTTAGATCTACTAACATATCCTCTTTGACCTTTTTATTTTTCTTAAAAGAAAGGGGTATTGTTTTCATTTTTTTAGCAGCTATATCTCCCTAAAGTGTTAGGTTGGCGAGAGAGAGTTACATACAATTGACATATGTGGATTCAAAGTAATCAAGAACCTAGGTAGCTTCTTTTGTAAATATTTAAATATTCCATTCCGTCATAAACTTTATTTATAATAACTGCGAAATTGAACAACTGAATTTGTTGTAGTGCTTAAGATTTTTTATCCTACTAGCAAATACCCGTTGCAATAATTCAATTTGTATTATATTATTATTAATTTTCATAATTTAATTTTTTTCAATCCCTATATTATTAAGAATAACATTAATAGTTAGTTTTAAATGTTAATAAATGATTTTAATATAGTAATTAAACTATAATCGGACTTGCAATACTTAAAAATAATTTTACTGGTTATCAATGAAATACATTAAATACAATAAATACATTTAAGTATTAAATTGCAAATTTATATTAATAGGTAATAGATGTTTTATTTATTTTTATTCGGAAGAAAGTATAGTTAGAAAGTAACTGAGGATAATATGAAATTTATTCAAATTGAATACATTAATATTTAATGGTAAAAGTAAAAAAAAATTGAGTAGTTTTTAAGTATGAATGTATAATAAGATTTATAAAATTAGATTTCCAAAAGACTTAATACTTTCCTGTTCAATTGAAAGTCATTGTCTCTTAAAATTTATATCAATTCTTTCAGTTTTGATCTTTTGTTCATTATTCAACTACAATAATCTCTTAGAAATCAGTGTTAGACCTATTGCATTGTCATACAAACATTAACAAATAAATTGAAATAAGTACTTACGCTAACTCCAGTTTTGTCTGCAAGTATATTTTGTAATATTAATGTTTCATAAGAATCTTTTTTTTTTAATATCTCTCGACTGTTCAATCTTAATTATAACTCCAATAACATCTTTTAGTATTAAAACACAATATTTAGAATATTATTCAAATTATAATAGGTAGGTTATATATATATGTATATATATTGTTAATATATAAGAATTATTACTAATTAAATTGTTTTTGGCTATTGACAAATCATCTTCAATATTATTAAGCCATGGATGATTTGGAATATCAGTGACTTCAGACTTATCTATAATTGCTGTTTGATTATAGATTATTTCATAATCATTTTTTGATTTTTTGAATGTCTTATTTGTTAATTTTATCATTCCATTTCTAAAATATTGTAAATATGATCCTCTCTTTTTAAACATAATGTATAAATAAATATATAGGTACAATAAGAAGGAAAGAATTGATAAAAGTTATATTTTGTATAATATCTACCCATAGCCATAATAGAATAAAAATCAAAAAAAAATAAATGTACGTTTATTAAACAATGCAATTAATTTGTTCAACGCCAACAATATTTTGACTTACCTACTGAATGTTTGTTTCTAACATTAAGATATTTCACCACCGGCTGACCATTGCAAATGATATTTTAAAAAAAATATGCTATGAAAACTGCAACTCAACATGTCTATGGGTGAACTTGTCTGTGTGTAATTATTGGCTTTGAGGGTGTCAATACTATTTAAGATTTGACTTGTTATCTGATTTTTAAAACTGGAAATGCATGTAAATAATCAAATGTATAACGTTTCAGGTTTCACTTTTTGTTTATTTATTTAGTATGCAAAAATATTTTTCCGAGTTGTCTGTACAAACATGCTTTTATATTATGTAGGTATGCATGTATTGATTTTATGTAAAAAAAAAAAAAAACCAATATTAATATGATAATATTGTGAAACTATTTTCTAACAACTGTACTGATAAAAATTAAACAAATTTTGAACAATAATGATGCGACAGTGAACATTTTATTTGTTATCTGTTATTTATGATATCTGTTGTAATATGATGGATTATCTACAAAACCACAGCGGTAAACAAACAAAAACTCAATAAATAGAATTATACAAGAACGCACCACTCGCCCTATAAATACTTCGATGTAAAGAAAACGAAAAACGCTGTATTACGTTACACGTACATATCGGAGTTTTTATTTTAAAGAAACACATTATACGAATTTACAAATCGTCTTCGTCATCGGACGAGGTCAGTTGATTCACCAACTGTTAAAATATGACTCGGGGGCGGTTGGGTTGGGTAGGTTGGAATTTTTAGTAATAATTAAAAGTAGAAACGAAACATCGCATGATAATTTATGTATATGTATATTAGTATATAATTGCGATTATAGTATATATGAGTATATTGAATTTTATTTATCCGGGGGCCCCGAAAGAACGCCGCCGGTGTTGTATAACCGAGCCGACATAAGCATGTCGATTTCACAGATAAAACGTTGCGATAATTGTGGGTTATTCCTGGCAGCAGCGTCGTCGTCGTCATCGTGTGAGTCGGGTGCGGGGTGGAAGCGAGACGGCCACGCCGCCGCGAACGCACGGTTTTATTACATTGGTCGGCATTTTAACCGACGCGCGGTTTCCCACCGGTCCGAGCACGCGGTCACACTGTGCGTGGTCGTCGGCGCGGCGGCGATGATGTGTACTGGCCGACGTGTCGTGCGTTCTGCGCCGTGCCCCCCTCCCTGGCGGACACGTTTACTTCGTGCAAGCCGTTTTTTTTCGCCGTTCGGTTTTCTTCACATCAATTATTTCTGTTCCGTTAATAACGTGCACGGACACGGGCGTCCCGGCGGTGAAACTGTCGTTTGGTCGCCGGCTCGCCGAACCAGGTAAGTGGCTAAATACGCGTGCGTCTCGATTATACTCGAGGTGTTCGCCTAACGGCTGGGCGCGCGCGGTTTTCTAATTGTTTCGTCGCCATTGTGCGTTTGGGCGACCGACTTCGCGACGTTCGTGTTCCCGTGTCTTTCGATACGTACGCCGTCGAGACGTTTTGTCGGTGCGATTCGGTGCGCGTAATTGTCCGCGGCCCGTCAACGAACGGCTAGCCCGGCCCCTCCCCCGGTCGGCGATCCCGAAGCGGTCCCGCGAAACCGGCGCGAGGTTGCCTGCGACGGTGTACCCGAACGATGGTATATCCGTACGGGTCGTCGTTCGATCGATGCCCGTCCTTGACGTACACACAATAGTGTAAATCCAATCGAATGGCTGGAGAAAAAGCATTCCGGCCGGTGCGCGCGTTATTTTTCCCTCTGTATTTGCGTGATCGTCCACTGCGGTAGCATTTCCGTATCTTCCGATGCGTTTACGTCGCCCGACGTTTTGCCGGTGCGACACTTGCGCGCGTAATCGTCCGCGGCCCGTCAACGAACGCTGGCCCGGCCCCTCCCCCGGGCGGGTAAGCCCAAAGCGGTCCCGCGAAACCGGCGTGAGGTTGCCTGCGACGATGCACCTGTACGATATTATATTGCACATATTAGGATTTTCCTCAGCAGATGTGCTGGGACTAACAGTATTATCTACCTCAGTATAATTATAATATTGCATATTAATTAATCGAGTAGAATTCATTAAATACCTATTGGTTTTTACCACCAAAAACTTGTCTTTGTCCACAAGGTTGTCGCCCTCAAAATCATTACAGTATTCTACATTTTGTAAGATTTTATTTAATGCGACAAAATATTAAAACTAATAATAATCTGACATGTTGTCAATTCCTTTCAATAGTCGGATCAATATCTTTTCCCATCATACATTTTTTAATTATTAAACAATACAAATA